TAATTTTAAAAAATATACTCGTATCATTCTTTTTATACAAAAATCCATAGAAACATTAACATGTTTACAGTTCCAGAGAAAAGGAATGCAAGTTTATGAAATCTTATTAAAACCTTAGTTTCTCTGCTTGACACTTAGCTGTTTCCACCCCAGCCTGGTCCCTAACGTCTAAAAACTGAGTGAGCGAAGCCCCTCTCGTGTTCTGGCAAATCCGTGGGACTCTGCTCCCGTGTGCGGAGCCCGAGGACCCCAGGCCTGCGCTCGACGCCGTGTCCTTCGTCTGATGCAGGGACGAAGGGCTGCGCCTTGACCTTGCAGAGGAGGCCTGCTGTGTTGCGACACGAGCTCTCTGCTACATTTACAGAGTCTTTCGTGAGACCACAAGGAGGCTCGCGCAGGGCCTGGAGTTGGAGGCGGTGGTGCCAGAAACACGTGCAGCGCATGCGCCCTGTTGCTGCCAAGTCCCTTATACACACAGCGATTCCGTGTCCCGCTGCGTAAGGAATCATCGCACAACGCTCTGCAGCTGGTCCTTCCGCGCTGCGGTGCTGAGGCCCGTTTGGTCTCTCCAGTTAAAAATCTTGACGCACATCTGCTTCCCATGCATGCTTGATTATTCTTTGTGAACAAAGCCAGAGGACTCGGTTTCTATTTTGGAAAATATTAAAGAAAACCTACGATAGTAATAATTTCCATTCGGAGGGAGGCACGTGTTGCCCGCGGAGCCCGTGGGACCGCAGCTGCACCCTGATGCAGGCTGCCTTAAATAGGAGGCAGCGACAGGACTGGCGACAGCTTCCCAGGCAGAGCCGAGTTCTCCGACACCACGGGCAGCGCTCTGGCTCCACCAGGGAATGTTGTGGGAAAGGAATTCACATGTGCGGTGGGCAAGGGTAGCATTCTGGACTCCAGATAGAGCGAGACAGCTGCACTTGTCTCCCCAGTGCCTGGGAAATCGCTCCAAGGGAGCACAAAGGACGGGGAGACGTGCACGCCCGGCCCACGTTAGTTATGCCACATTCACAGGGAAACAATGAGTTGAAAAAGACAATACGTTTGCAATTACAAGAGCTTCAAAATTCTCGCATCAAAAGTTAATTTTAGAATATCAAAAAGATTGCACGTTATATTAAATATGCATTTTGAACCTAAGCCAATAGCTGCCAAAATATTTATAAACTTTCCTTTTCTCCCTACATAGAACAAAGCTCAAGACCCCAGGCGGCGTTCAGCTCTCCCCCGGCCACCACCCAGGCTCTCTCGCTAGGAATGACACCTCTGCAGATGGACAGGAAATGGTGACAAGCTTGAGATCAAGGCCACTGTCACATCGATTCTTTTCCTTAACAGACATCTTAAACATAGACTGAGGGTCATGACAGCAATTTCACGGATTTGCAACATGGACATATCTTCACACATACATGCTCTTAAATATCTAACAAAGTCAGTGGAAATGGAAGTAGTGACCAGCACCCAGAAAACGTGGTGTATGAATGGCGCAGTTCATCACTGCGAATCCGGGAATGGAAAACACCTTCTTCTCAAGCCTTGACAACTTTCTCCCATCCAGATGAATGCCTTGCGGTATTCTTCTAGGGTGTCAAGACAAAATAAGGGGTACAGAAAAGTGCTTAGGCAGAAACAGTGGGACACATTGGTCAATGCGAGGATTATTAAATCACAGAAAATAAAAGCAAAAAAGACCCTTGGTGCCCACTGGTTCCACCTCACTGCACAGGTGTGGAGTTAGAGGCGGTGGTGCCAGAAACACGCCCAGCGCATCCGCCCTGTTGCTACCAAGTCCCTTATACCTACAGCGATTCTATGTCCGGCTGCGTAAGGGAGAGGGGGAGAAGGGACTTGCTCTAGAGCAATGTTCCTCCACTTCTGCACTGTTGACATTTTGGGCTGGACAATTCTTTGTTGGGACGCCAGGGGGCTATTCCGTGCATTGCAGGATGTTGGGTAGCATCCTTGGCCTCTACCCATTAGATGCCAGCAGCAGCCCCTCCTCAAGTTATGACAACCAAAAACATCCCAGGCATTGCCCAGTGCCCGCTGGGCACCCCAGGAGAGCAACAGGATGCACAGGGGACAGGCTGCTCCCAGACCTTGCACCCAGGGGGCCCTGCCTGGCCACTGCCCACTCAAACCCCTACCCCACTCCTTTCTGTTACTTAGGCCCTCCGTGCCTGAGAAAAGACACCTGCCAGGGGCTTCTGTACAGCATACGAAAGACGCACAGGATGCTGCCAGACATGTTTCTGAGGTTGCCCCACATGCAACTCTGTGAGGAAGCAGAACAGGTGGCATTATTCCTTCCTTGCAGCCGAGGAGTGAAGCCTCCTAGGGGCGGTCCCATCTCCTGCTGCTCCTGCCGACCCCATCACAGGGCTTTGCTCCTCAGAGAGCTCCCATAAACCTCAGTTTCATCTGAACCGCCGAAATTTCACAATTACTGATTTTGGTAATGACACTGTAATTCCCCCAATTATCTTGAATCTAAACTGGCACCATCTTTAACTCCTATCCTTCCATATCCAAGGACCTATAAAAAACAGAAGCAAATAAACAAACAAACAAGCCCAGCCACCCCCCAAAACCCCTGGAGCCAATGGCCTCTAGCTCTGCAGCACTGTGATGTCACGTGCTCCTGTCCAGCTCGGCACTGCTGTAGCCAGGTTCCCAGGCCTGCCTCCTGTCTCAGTGTCCCCGTGCTCCCTGCTGCTCCCAGAGCCATCTCACTGAAAAAACACCCAACCACATCACTCCTTTGCTTAGAAGCGTCCAGTCTCTGGGGCCTTGAGGATAAAGGCCCAACTCAAGGCATCTGAGGTTCTCCCCGGTCCTGACCCAGGCTTCCCAGCCTTCTCTCTCAGCACTCATTCCGATCTTGACAAACAGGGAAAACAGGTTTATTCCCCGCCCTAGTCTTTGTATCATTATCCCATCCATCTACCTTTCCAAGCCTACGCCCAGAAGGCACAGCACCTCAGACGTGGGGTCAGCCCTGCCCTTCCCAGAGAGACTGGTTCTCCCACGTGTGCTTCTCTGGAGCATCACTGCCGTGTGAGTGGGCACAGCCCACCCAGCTCACGGTCCTGTGTGTGTGTCTCTGCCTACTCCCCTGCACTGAGGACTAACTGCGGCTTCTTTCTCCCTCCCTCCCTTCCTCCTTCTCTCCCTCCTTCTTTCCCTCTCTCCTTTTCTTCTTCCTTCCCTCCACCCTCCCTCCCTTCCTTCCACCACAGCATCAAGCACCATCTCATGTATGTTACAAGTATTCAGCAAATGCTTATCAAGTTTAATTTAAATCATTTAAGTCAGAAAACACTTCCTGCTCTTTGGTTTTAGTGCTATATCCTGTCCGTGAACGACTGCGGAACGAGTAATAGAAAGCATGGCATGAGACCATACATCTTAGGGGGAAGACTCATCTCATCCTATCTACCATGTACTGTAAAGATTCTTTCTATTTCAGGCTCAATAAATGGCCCCCAGACAGTGACAGGAAGCTTGGTATTTGTGAGGCAGGACACTCCTTCATTGGGCAGCTCGAATGCTTGAATGGACATGCTTGTATCAAACTACAACCTTTTTTTTCTCCTTAAAATGCCACATCCTCTGGTGCTATACAGCGTGGATGTGATCCCTTAAATACGACGGCCTTCCAATAGCTGGGGCCAACCACTACGGCTCCCCTAAGTTCTGTACTCAGCTCTCCCCGTCTTCCGTAGAAGCCACACTCTCTAGCTCTTCTTGCACCCCTCTCGCCTCAACTCCTCCATCCGTCCCGCCCTCCTGACCAGCCTCTGCATGTCCACCTGTCCACCAAGGCTCTTCTCGAAAGGAGCCACACTGAACAGAATCTTCAGCCACGGCTCCTCGAGGGCTTCACAAAGGAATCCATACCTTCCAGTTCGATACTCTAAACACGAATTATGGCAACTGAGACGGAATTCGTTTTACTAGCCGCAAACCACACTGTTGGATCATACAGAGTTAATAATTCAACAAAACCCTCCAGATCTTCTAAGAAATAAAAACGGTGTTATACTAAAACCTCCCCAGCCTTTATGCATGGACATCCTAACAACCAGAGCAACAAAACAAAGAAGTCAGCCAAGCCCTAAACGCAAAGCCTTGCAGATCTCCCTGTTATACTTGTTGATTTCCACGCTGGAAGGTGAGCTGTTGCAGAGAGCTTTATCACCTCCGAATTCTGCGAGCAGGGATTCTAGAGTAGGGATTCTACGTCTCCAACCTTCTCTCCTGCAGAGATCCAACGCAACCCCCCTGGGGTGTCTCCATGGGCTCACTCTGCACACAAGCGACTCCACTGGGGAGAACAGCAGCGTCTCACAGGGGAAATGGCCTTCTCGGTTACTTAGCATAAACTCTCTAATTAGGTCAGCTAGTCTGATGACATGAACTAAGGCCATCCAGGCTCCACAAATACAACAATTCAATTACGCAGTAACAGAACCCGACTTTCTAAGCAATAATACGATTTTACAGCCCAAGTCAGTATGATGCACAGAGATCAACTACATCATCAGAGACCTGAGGAAACAGAGGGTGCTTGGAACCTGGTTTTGGGGGGATCTGGAACTCAGCCTCTCCTCAGAATGTGCTGAACATAATAAGAAGCAGCAGTGGTGCTCGATTAGACTTTCCGACGGAAACTCGCAAAGTTCAGCAAACCATCAGGACTGTGTTCATAGGAAAATATTAAAAGGAAAATCTTGACCGGGAAATTTTAATGTCAAGTGCTTTTTGTATCTTTATGAGTGGACAATAAAAAACTTTTTAAAAATTTAAACTCTCCTAAAATTAGCTAAAAGTCTTAAAATTAATGGAAACCTTAACGTAACTGTGAAGTGTTCGACGTAAGGGCATATTCTGAGAGTGCCGTCCTCTCGTAATATTTTCCACTCCATTTCATCGTCTTCGGTAGTTTAGAACAAAGGTCAAGCATGACATTAGCTTTCAAAACACAAATTAGTTTCAGTATGCTTATCAATAAATGAAAACTTTTAAAATGGGTTTACTTTGGGTCTTTATTTATTTTTTTTTCTGGTACCCCTCATGATGTTTTAAGCTCACAAGAGAATCATGAGTAATTAATTTCTAGGGAAAAAAACTATTCTACCTTCTTCAGTTATCCACATTTTAACATAATACTTACTCCCAGAACATGGCTTAGCAATGGAAGTTTTTCAAAGCAGTCTTATTTTAGGTTTAGAAGTGTTCTGATTCCAACATGATATGGAATAAGACCAGTAAGCCATAAGCTCTTACCTGGCAGCTTATGGGAAAGCTGCTCTCACTCTTAGGAGACAGAGTCTTCCAGATTAGTATGTGGCTTAAAGATCACCGTGTGATTTCAAATAACTCTGGGGTCTCGTCATTTCTAAATATCCTCCATTCTAATCCCAGCACACGCCATGCTGATGGCACCGCGAGGATGCAGCTCACTCACCCTCTCAGCAGTTTGAAGAGCATGCAGCCCAGGGAGAACCAGTCGGCGCTGCTGTCATAGGCTGTCCCCTTCTGCAGCACCTCGGGAGCCATGTACCCATGGGTGCCACTAGGGAAGAGAGAGCACACGCAGTTATTGGAGCAGGCCCATCTTGCAAAACACCGACGGTGCGTCACTCCCAAGATGGCAACAACTGTAAACGCAGGAGAGGGGACCGTTTGCTTCCATGCAGACTTGAGTCCTTGAACATCCAGTGGGGAAACAATCTTTTCTGCCTTTGTTAGTATACGAATGGACATAAATAAAAAGTGACTGCATGAAATAAATTCGAAAAATGCGAGTTCCGTAGTCTGGGAGGTGACATCTGAATCTCATTAGTCCTCTACTCCGGCTATGCAGAGACATTCTCCTGCCCCTTCAAGAGCCGTGTAGAGGGGTGTGGAGTGGAGGGAGGCAGTGGGCAGGGGGGAGGGAGAGGACGATGGCAGGCCACTGCACTGCAGCTGTGGGCCCTTGAGGCCTGAGGTCGCCCACTCCTGCGCAGCGTCACCTCTTGTGCCGAGTGCCGGAGCTCGTGCGTGCTACGGCTGGGGGCCACCTGCTTGGTGGCAGTTGGTGACAGATCCCAGGGGGGTGGAGAAGAAGTGGCAATGCAAGCCCACAAGTGTATGAGACGGAGAAATCATGCATCAGGTTTAAAAGCTGCTGAAATTCAAAGGACTCAGCACTGAGCACGTGTGCAGATGATTTTCAGGAAGTTGAGAACGCCACGTGAGTGGAGAACCATTTTATACACAATCTGCACCCTCCGCAGCGCGAGAGCCCCTCCCGTTCCAGGACTCTCCGGCCCTCCCCGAAGAGCCGGGCAGCTCGTGGGGAACTTTCAAAGTGGCAGCTCGAAAGGGCCCCGCAAAAGCCATTATCTATACCCCCTACATCTCTTCATCCTTCTTTGATTTTCTTCATCCACAAAATGGGTAATAAGGTAACACCTCTGCCTCTCAGCGCTGCTGCGAGGATGGCACAGACGTCATGGGCTGGCACAAAAGAAGAACTCCATGTCGGGGATTTTAATCTCTATTCTTAGTACCATCATTTTTAACTTATGCTCCGAAACAGTACGAATCTATTCAAATAAATGATCCTGGATCATCATCGGGATCCGTACTCTGGGTCTAAGAGGTATCCTTGGGGAGTTTTATCAAGCAGTGAGAATGAGCGCTGGTCCATCAAGGCAGGTCTGGCGCTCTGGAAACCTCCATCATCCAGAATTTAAAGTCTGTCAAGCCGTGCTGTGAGAGCACGAGGGATTTCTAGGAGGGGCGTCCGAACCACTTCCTAAGAAGTTTTAATTTCAGTGTTGCCTGCAAAGCCCTTTGTGGGGACCTCTTAACCTGTGATTCTCAGGATCGAATCGCAATTCTGGAAAGGACAGATATTTACAAGGATAAATAAAATAAATGAACACAGATCAGTTCTCCAGGCTTACACTGGACACAAATAACGCTGAACACTGGACTGCCTGTCGCTGTGGTTTTCTGATTCTGCCTACACGACAGCCACTGATGCTTCCTGAAACACTGTGCGAACAATTTATGCTACTATTAATACTGAGTGAACACTTGAACGTTTTAAGACACTGTGACACGAGACACAGCTTTGTGTTCTTAGACAAAATAAGCTAGGACTCAAATTAGTCACTGGCAATTCGCTCTACTCCAAAAGTCTTCCTTTGATTTTTCACGGCTACTCCATAGTTAACTTCTAGTTTACGATAATTTGTGATTCTGTCATTAAATGGATTAAGTATAAACTCAAATCAGGAACTTCAATTATAACACTACCTTGGCTGCTGCTAGATGGGCTGGCTGCTAGATGAAGTCCAATAATTACGTCTACAGCTTTGAAAAGATCTGAGAAACCAAGTTTAGGGTGAAATTCTGGCCAAAAATCTTTAGTCTAGTACTAAGCAGATCATTTCAAAGCCTCAGGGAGTCCATCCCTATGGCGTAAAGAGCACAGGCTCTGGAATCAGGCAGAATTGGATTATAATTCTAGCCCCACAGCGCACCAGCTATGTGACCGGGTTCAAGTTACTTAATTTCTCTGAACCTCAATGTCCATGCCATAAGAAGCGAATAACGATACCTATGATTTATGGGATTTCTGTGAAGATAACATAGTCAAAGCAGTTACCTATGCGTGCCTAGGACAGCTGATATTTACCCAGTAACACTGCAGATGCTGCCAGCACTGCCACCACCCCATACCCTGGTCATTTAAGGGACAAAGTGCTCTGGGCTGCTAGTTCCAGGAGGTCAGGGATCGGTTCTGTCTCACTGTGGCATCACCAGCACCTGGCACACAGCAAACGTTACGTAGTCTTGCTGAGTTAATTAGTTGACTCAACCCTCAACGACCACATGAGGTATCGTTATCTCCTCTTCATAGAAGGGGAAATGAGGCTTACGCAGCTTGGAAGAGGAATTCAAATCTAGGTCTGTTGACTTCAAAGCCTTCATTCTTAAGGCCACCTTCATTTAAACATGTGGTATTGCGTTGTGCATTTATCTTTTTAAAGTAGTGGCCTCCCAATCATAATCTAAACATGGAAACCAACCTTCCCATCCCTACCCTTTCACAAATGCTCTTCAAACACTGTGCTTTCCAGGGCCACCATTCAGAGCTGACATGTGAATTACAGTCAAAAGTGGGCTAGACCCTATTAGGAAATACATAACTCCATATCTGGAAGTTAATTCTTTTGGGAGATTAACTCTTACGAACTCCTGGATTCATATTTAGTTAGGACTGTACTAAATTGAAGAAATTAGCATACCAAATAGCTGAGGCATTAAAAATTCAAATGACTCTCTTAAAAATGTCTGAAGAACTCCCTAAGAGAAGCTTATACAACCACAAGTTCTGGCCTAATCACTGTAAAGTGTTAGCAAAATGCTAATGCTTTTATCACCGTATCCCAGATTCTGCAGAAAGAGAGAAATATGTTTACAGAAATGGCGCTATTCATTATTAACATTTGATCAGAGCTTTAAAAGGCAATTTTGATTTAATGCAGTCCCTTGTAAAGTATTGCAATTCAGAACCACTTTACTCCTAGTTACACAAAGAGAAGGACCTGCAGTTTATTTTCTGCATGGAGGACATGAAATGGGACTCCTGGGAGTTTCTTCAAGACCATTCAACACAGAGATGAATGTTAGCTCAAGATGTACAATCAAATGTGATTTTAAAAGACTCAGTGCTTAAGAGGAGACATTTAAGAAGACAAAATAAAGCAAAAGTTGCCTACTTTTCCACAATCTGCACACATGTTCGTATTTTCCACCCAGATCATCTGATACCAAAGAAACAGAAATGAAAGCCTGTGCATGTTCCATTCTGTTTCTGCAGGGCCCTGGGGGAGCTGCCTGATAGTCCCGCCTCTTTTTAACAACCCTGGGTTCAGAGAGGAGTCTTCGGGCCAGGGTCCCCGTGCAGTGATGAAGCACAGCCAGCCCCAGAAGCAGTTCAGGGTTCACTGAGCTGTCAAGTGCCGGCCGAGGGCTGTGGTCTCAGGAGTTACGTCCAGTGGTCGCTTGGAGGACTGGGGCAACACCCAAATCTAACAATATGACCCACATTAGAAGCCCGAACTGCACGTGGATGATTTGTTTGATATTTTAAAAAGTGAGGGGGCAGGGGTGGAAGTGGGGAGATTCCTAACTTCTTATCCAAAAAAAAAAGAAAAAGAAAAGCCTTTTTGAAAAAGAAGGAAAATAGATGGAGAGAGAAACACTTGGACCTCCCTCGGAGAGACGTATGCAGCTGCCTCTGCACCTTCCCAGGCACAGGGTCTTTCGTTTATCCTGTGACAACTCCCAGGGATTTACTACTACCTCTATTTATAGATGAAGAGACTGAGGGTCAGACAGTTTAACTGACTGACTCAGGCTCATACAGGCAGTATGACTCCGGATTTCTTGCCCAGGCCTGACTCTTCCCGACAGACGGCCCTGGCCCCTGAGCAGGCGCAGTCGCTTCGTGGGTCAATTCATGCTCCCCAGCGACCGTGACAGAAAGCACAGCGCGCTTACCTCCTCCCGCACAACCTGTGACGCCGGGTCTTGCCCTGCCCTGGCATTATCACCTATCGAAAATCACCCCTGGCAGGAGAAAAGAGAGGGAACAAACAGCCAGGCCAGCGCCTGACCTGAATGAATGAATGCGTCTGCCTGAATGAACGAGTGAGTGGCATCAGAGAAACGAGAGTGAGCAGAGGTGATGCGCTACTTACACACTCGCGTGCGGCTTCTTTTTGGAGAAATCGCAGGCAAGACCGAGATCGGATATTCTTACGTGTCCGTGTTCATCCAAGAGGATATTTGCTGGCTGAACAGAAAGAGAATATGGTCTTTGAGAGTCCCCCACGTGCCACAGGGGCTTTGAGAACTGAAAGTACAGACGCTTAATATCTTAGTATTTTAACACAGCTTGTTCCTAAACGTGAATTACAGCTTTATACTATCACACCAAAGAAGGGCACGGTACTGAGAGCTGTATTTTTCATGTTAACTTCAGCGGAAGTGGCAATGACCGAGGTGAGGGATTCTGCTCGTTAGGGGAAGAAACGCAGGCAGGTAACGTGGGAGGGTTGAGACCACACTTCGTCAGAGTTGAAAGCATTTCCCTTCCCCGTGCCGTGCCGAGAACTGCGGTGCGGCCAGAATGACTTTGCCTCTGGGCGATGGGGAGCGAGTCCACCAGCTTTTTTGCATATGGACCACACAGACTTGGAAGAATGAAGCCATGAGACACAGAACAGAAAGGCATCTTTCAAGAACGCATAAATACTGATCTACGGAATCAAAATATTCCACGGTGCCACGCTAATGCCGATGAATGTCATCTCTGTTTATTAGTGCAGCAGCAGCGCGGGGCCCTACCCGATGACCAAATATGATTTTGGCCACAACTCTGATGAAATGTATCCACTACGATTAGATTTAGTCATCATAACTACGGAAAACAAAGCTCCTCTCTCTAACATACATTGAATTATAGTCGTCTTAATATTTTTCTGCTGGAGATCAACTATTGTTTTGCTTGAAACGAAGATAATGGCATGCTATTATAAAATGGAAGCATGAATAATCATGAGTGACTAGAATTAAGTTTGAATAGAAATTAAATAATACCACTGCCTACTAAATAGCTTAGAAAGTAAAAATAAAGCCTAAAGATGATTAGAAACCGGTTATAGATTTAAATTAGGATGTATTATAAGGGCACATCATGGGCCTTTGGCGTATATTTTATTTTTCTGCAATACTCACATGAGGAAATAAAATGTCATATGCCAACCAATGTCTAATTTCTGATTCAATAAAAATACACTTTTTCTTTATGCTCAAAGGAAAACTAAGGGAGTAATTCTTTAACCTTGCAGAAAGCTTTTAAATATACAAAGTATTTTGTGCAAAAAATAATATGCTCGAAAATAAAATGTGATTTTCATAATATTTTAGAAGGTAACCTTAAAAAGCCAATGACAACATCTTAGCTCCTTAGAGAAAGGAGCATCATCTGTACACATCGGTCGGCCACTGTGGGTTCCAAGAAGGAATTTGAAATAAGAGGAAAACACATTCTCTTGGAGTCCTCTCATCCTACTGGCAAACTGTCACTCGCATCATTGTTCTTCCCATTATTATTTGTGTGTTTATACAATCATTTCTATAATCACTTCTATAATTTGTCAAGGTCCCTTTTAGCTCCACCCCCGTCTTCAGGCTGGTGGCCATCACAACCAGGTGAGTGACACCATGGACGTATTATGCAAGCTCCCAACTCCCTCCTTTGTGCAGGACCCGGCTCCGTGGTCTGCAATGAAAAAACTCAGAACGCTCCTATTTTTTTCTTTCAAGGCCAATGAGCTTTCATAGAGGACAAGAACAAAAACCCAGGCATGGCAGTCAGAGGTTACATAGTTCGAGGAATCTAAAAATCTATTAATGATTTTTAAGGCAATCTCAAAAAACAACGTAAAGCTTTGAGAGTGGCCTTTGAGAGAAATCACTCCAGCTGACCAGCAACGCACCCCTCACTGACCGGCCTTGCCTGGGAGGAGTTGGGATGCGGCCGTTCTATGCCCTGGTTCACCAGTTTATAAGTCCTACAAAATATATGTGCTTTATGTGTTCATCTCTGTACACGGAGCTGTGGCAAAACTCAGTTGCTTAGTGAACATTATTAATTGATTTATTAATACGATTAATTGTAAAATAGGTGACACCAAAAAAACTCCTACCCTGCTTTTCATTAATGAATCAATTTAAAATGGATTGCTCAGTGTACGTGCTGCACCAGGCACTGTAGCAGGCATCGAGGTTACAAAGATGACGGGGACGGTCCTGCATTCTGTCCCTGCAGAGCCTGGTCTAGGGGGGACTGACATCACACAGACAACGGCTTCCTCAGGGCTGAGATGAGGGCTATGAGGAAGACGACAGTACTCTACGAAAGAGAAGAGGACTTCCAGGGGACCGTTGGCACAATGTCTACTGTGCAGAATGAGTCTGTTGACTGTCCTCACCTTCAAATCTCTGTAAACAACAAACCGATGGTGCATGTGCTCCAGCCCCAGGATGATTTCCGTGGCATAAAACCGCATCTCCTTCTCCGAAAACACTCCGTGCTGTGAGAGGTGATAATGCAAGTCGCCTCCTGGTACCAAAGATTCAGAGTTTAATTCAAAGTGTGTTAATTTAAAGGAAATAAAAATCGTTGTCATCCTCAATAGGACACAGTAAAAAAAAGGTAAACTATACTTCTGCTTTGTCTATATACCTATCTTTGATTTCCATAGTTTGGCAAAACACTTTAACACACTGCCTGCCACACTAGAAAAAAAAATTTTTTTTTCCCTTGGGGCCACAGTGTTTTATTGAAACAGAATGATCCTTTCTAATTTATTATTGTTTATTGTTTGTTGTTTATTGTGCGTGAGTTATATGCAATGCAAACCAAGTTTTTAGAATTAAATTGTCAATATTAATTGTAATGATAAGGACAGCAACAAGTAAGATTTTCACCAACCAACTGCAGGGTTTTGCTTCACTCAGCCCTGAGGTCAAAATCAGCTGGAGTTAAATACAACTCACATGGCAGCCAATGTGTTAAACAGTATACAAAAAATAAAAAAATCAAAACCGATCATATCAACAGATATTTGATAAAGCAAATAACATAAAATTTTAACCAATAAAATCCAGGTGGTGGGTGTTTGGGTGTCCCCAGTAAAATATTTTTCAGCATTGCCATAGGTTTGAAATTTTTCATAATAAAATGTGGAAAGAAGGAAATAATCATTTGGCCTCGAGTTACAGAGACAGAGAATGCTGCCAACGGGGAAGAGAATGTTTTTATAAACCAACAGGGAAAAGCCTCCATTGGTTTACAAAAGTTAATGTGTGTCTGACTTTATTGTCCTTATTTTGAGTAGTATCTTCTTTTCTCCACCCGCAGAGATCCCTGTGTGACCCCCGCCAGCCAGATCAAGATGGAGAGGGTTTGCGGTACCCCAAAAGGCTCCCCCACGCCCTTTCCCATGAAGACCTCAGTCCCCAACCCCCATCAGGCAAAGGGGACTCTTCTACCCTCCCTCCCCATCAATTAGTTTTGCCTATTCTGAAAGTCACATAAATAGGACCACATACAACACATCCCGCTGCGTCTGGATCCCGCTGTGTCTGGCTTCTTTTGCTCGTTATTATGTCTGTGAAAGTCCTTCACATTTGTGGGTAGATGTGGTTTTAAATCAAACCCTCAAAACATAATAAAACTTCAAGTGAACTTCAAAAAAAAAAAAAAGAACTAGGCATTTGAGTTGTTGAATTGTATGCCTTTTTGTTTCGGCTCTTGTTACTAAAAATACTTTGGGTATATACCAGGTCACTTTCTAGTACTAGAAAGCTACTTTTCTCGCTGGATATTTTTCAGCATTCTCAAGGTCATCATTTGCCATTTAAAAGATCAATTTAGAAGGAACAGAAGATTGGGCTCAAATCTGTACTTGGCCCAAAATCAGTCCTTCAAAGTGAATTTTTAAATACATTTCTATCTTTGGCCTGTATTCTTAGGAGGTATTTCATTCCTAAAAGTTGAGGGCCAGGAAATAAGCTAATTACAGGACTAGGCCAGCTGCATTCCAGAAAAATCAAGTTTCACTGTAAGTATTTTATGAGAATCTTTTCTAGAAAATTCAATTTCCTGGGGAGAGAGTGGGAGGTCTAGAGAGAAATTGCAGTAAACATTTTAAAATGAATTTTAACTGAAAATCGAAGGGCAAAAGGTTTCCTCAAATTTCAGGGGACTATAATTATCTGAAAGACCCAAATTGCCAGTCTGCCTAGATTCACACTTGCTGAGATGTGACGTCGGGGCAAAGTCTGTGAGGGGTTCGGGCTGCCCAACCTGTGCTCACCGTTCATCAGATCCAGGATGAAGCAGAGTTTGTCCGGCGTGTGGAAGGCGTAGGTCATGCAAACTATGAAAGGACAGTCCTAGAGTAAAAAAACAAAAGTTCATGCAGAAAGCAAAAGCTGTCCTGGAAAGTGTATCCAGGATTTTTAATTCATTTGTTTATTTTTTATTGTCACATTGCAATCATACATATTTATGGAGTACTATTTGATATTTCAATACATATTTATGTTGTAGAATGATCTCATCATGGTAGTTAGTGTATCCATCAGCTCATGCATTTATCATTTCTTTGTGGTGAGAATCTTCAAAAGCCTCTCTTGTCACTATTTTATAATATTCAATACATGCTATGGATTTTTATCCATGCCCCTGCTCCACGCATTGAGCACAGATATCTGCATAGTAACTTTAAAAGTCATAGTAAAATAAATCCGGTTACATGATAAAATGCAGAGACACACAACATTAATAATTGGAGCAGATGAACTTGAAGGTCCTCCCTCACTCAGATCCAATCATGAATCCATTCTAATTACATCCTCTTTGAAAGACTAGATTTTGCAGAAAAATATTACTGTCTTGCTAGTCTTTTTGTTGGTCAACATTGTGGCTCTGGCTAGTCCAATATCCATTTCGATCTCTGCTTCTGAAGTTGGAAGGAAAGTTATTTGTGTTATTGTTTTGAAACACTGAGAATATAAATGGAATTAAATTAGCTTTTGAAAGTGGAAGACCATACCATGGTGCAGGATTGAATAACTCAATTGTGAAGATTTCAATTTCCCCCTAATTAATCTATAGATTCCACACAATCTTAATCAAAATGAAAACTGACAAACTGATTCTAAACTCTATGGATGTGTAAACAGATGAGAAAAGTTCAGATGCTCTTGAAGATAAACAAAGCTGGAAAACTTATAGTGCCAGTTATCAAGACTTATTAGAAAGCAACAATTCAGATAGCTTGGTATTAGCCCAAGGACAGACAAACAGACCAATGAAACAGAATAGAGAATCCCTAAACAGACCTGCACATAAATGGTCACTTGATTTGTGATACAGGTGACATAGCAGGGCATGGGAAAAGTGTGGCCCTTTCAGTCAATGGTGCTGGAGCACTTGATATCTGTACAATAAAATATGGACCTTGACCCCTACCTCACACCATATACTACAGTCCCCTCTGGCAGATATAGATCTAAATGTGAAATATAAAACAACAAAGCTTCTAGGAGAAAACAAGAGAGTTTATTCATGATCTTAGGATAAGTAAAGATTTCCTAGGTCACAAAAAGCAGTAACAATAAAAATATTTATAAATTGGACTAAAATAAAATTAAGAACTTCTGTTCATCAGAAGATACCATTAAGAGAGGAAAAGGATAAGCCACAGAGTGGGAAAAGATATCTGCAATCCATAAACACACAAAGAACTCATATCGAGAATATATAAAGAACTCTTAACTATCAATAAAAAGGCAACTGACACAATAGAAAAATGGCAAAACAAAAAAAATTTAAATAGACATTTCCAAATGGCCCACAAGCCTCTGAACAGATGCTCAACCTCAGGTGTCTCTAAGCAGATTAAAACTGCAACATGCTACCACCAAAACCCATGAGAATGGCTAAAATTAAAAAGACTGACAATACCGAGTGTTGGAAAGATAAGGAAGCAAAGGAACTTTTACATATGGCTGTTGGCAGTGTACACTGGTACGACCACTTTAGCGACCTGTTTGGTGGCATCTACCAAGGCTGAGCATCACCTGGCCAGCAATTTTACTCTGAAGTAGACATCTTACAGCAATCTGTACTGATGTACACTAAGGGACCTGCACACGAGTGTTCAAAACAGCACTGTTCAAAATAGCCCAAACCAGGAAATAACCCACATGTCTACCAACAGTAGAATGGATGAACTGTGGTATGTTTATACAATAGGATACTATGGAGCAGGAGTCAGAAAGCCTTTTCTGGAAAGGGCTAAACAGTAAGTATTTTAGGACTTGCAGGCCACATACAGTCTCTTCTTCTTTGCTTATTTTCTTTACAATCCTTTAAAAATGTAAAAAAAAACATTCTCAGTTCATGGCCTGTACAAAATAAAGCCACAGGCTAGATTTGGCCCCTGGCCACACCTGGCTTGCTGATCCCTGCCGTATGGCTGCAAGGATGAGCTATTGCAGCAGCCCAGACGAAATCTCACTAATGACACTGAGTGACAGAGACCAGGCACAGAGGAGCACATTTACACAAAGCTCAAACAAAATTAGCAAAGCTCTTAGTAAATTATAGTGTTAGAAATCTGGATAGAGGTCAGCTTGGGTGTGGGGCTAGTGACGGAGAGGGGCACAGGAGACTTCTAGGATACTGGTAACTTTCTGTCTCTTGATCTGGGTGCTGAAGACATGCGTAGGTTCCCTTGTGAAACGTCATCAGTGCCAGGCTAGATCTATTAGATCTACAATATTTAAATCCATTTTATCTACTATATCCATTCAGATTCTTTATACACAGTGTACGCCTATGACTAAATTGATTCAAATTTTTAAAAATGACATAGACTATCTATATCCACTGTCTTAACAAAGAAAATGATTAAATTCCAGAGAAAATGTCCAGATTTCATCAGAATAATCTGTAAACAGAATTCGCATTGTTCAAACCTCTCTATTAAGAACATAAAATTTTGAGTTGACACATTCCTATATATTAATACTAAAGATTCATGAACTTGAACTCAATTTCCATATCTCTCGAAGAAAAACTTTCCATGAAAGAATTACAAAATTCATTTTGTGGTTGTTTAGTTTTCCTTAGAGTTCTGCTGGGATGGTGTTAGTATTTACTGATTTCAAGATTTATTTTGCCTTCAATAGGTAAAATACAGGTGCTATCCTTTTCCTGTGAAAAGCCCTGTGGCCTTTCCAGTGGGCACTGTCCTACTGGGAACCCATCTGTGCTTTGCCAGACCTTTCCATTAGCCTCTGAATATGGCCATCTAGTTCTGCTCCAAATATCACATTCCTTCCCTAGTGGGGTCCGCCACATGCTCTTGCTCCTGATCTGATGAGCAATTCATCTGCAGAGCAGAGAAGCGGGTGAACCTAGAACTTGGTAAAGCCTGGGTCGTTCCCAGCTTGAGACAGCAAGCACACCCGCTTCACCGGGGGCAAGTGGACCCTTCCAAGGGGGATTTCTGAACATGAGCCCTGAGAAAATAGCAAAATGTTAATGTCTCCTTAAAATAATATGTTATTAAGATAGGATGTGAATTTTCGATTTATAACTGTAGGCTGTGCAAGTAGAAAGGGTTCTTAAAAGAAAAAAAAAAACAACACCTGGGCTGGTCTAACTTTTTTTTTTTTTTTTTTTTTTTGAGACAGGCTCTCACTCTGTCACCCAGGGTAGAGTGCAGTGGTGTCATCATAGCTCACTGTAACCTCAAACTCTCATGCTCAAGCGATCCTCCTCCTCAGCCTCCTGAGTACCTGGGACTACAGGAGCAACACCACGCCTGGTTAATTTTTCCATGTTTTTGTAGAGACAGGGTCTCGCTATTGCTCAGGCTGGTCTCAAACTCCTGACCTCAAGCAATCCTCCCACCTCGGCCTCCCAGAGTGCTAGGATTACAGGCGTGAGCCACCACTCCCGGCCTAACTTCTCTATTTTAAAGAGGAAATTCAGGCCCCTCAAAAGGGAAATGACTTGCCTGAGATAGTTTCAAACCCCAAGTCTCCTGACCCTCTCCGAGTCCTTGCTGTGTTATGCTGCTTACAAAGGCAAAGTTTCTCCAGCAATTAACAAAGATTCCTCCTTGACCCAACTCTAGCCAGGATCCTCGGAGCCCTCTTTTCGACTAGGCCTCAACCTTGACCTATGAAGACTTGAACAGACACTAACATAGTTTCTAATATCTCAAGACTGCATTCCTGGGATGGCCCTAACCCTGCTCCAAGTGCCAGAAGAATTTACCATTTGTTCCAGCCAACACCCAAAGATAGCGCCCCTGTCTTCCAGCCTCCAGGGGAGGGTAGGAGCCTACCCTGGGTAGGCACCAGTTAGCCACCCCGGATGGGTCTCACCTGGACTGAGCCCCCATTCACAGATTTTGTTGTTTTTCATTTCCCTGACCCTGCTGAAGCCCCTGCAGTCCACCCCATCCCCATTCTCCCTTGAAAACACCCTCTCACCTCTGCACAAGTCAGAATGGAGCTCAGCTGTTTCCCCTACTTTTGGTAGTTACCTAATAAAATCTGTTTTCCCTGCTTTAACTAATATCCAGCTGCATTTACCTTTGATACAATGTAAAATAAACGTGCAGGTAAAGGAATCAGATTTGGTCACCTCTACAGAGATCTCAGTGATCCCACATCTCTCAAGGTGCCGAGCAGGCACCATAATGATTTTCACGTGGAGTCTGGGACACAGGGAACTGAGTACTGGCCAACGTGGAGAGACAAGTAGCAACTGAATGAATGGCGCCATACGGTCCCAAAGAGAAAGATGGTAGGGGGCTCTCCCTTGATTACAAATCAGTGGAAATAAGAGCTCGCAGATGCTGAGAGGCAGAACCTTCAGTAAAGCTCCCAAACGAGGAACTGTCTTCTTTTCCAAGAGTGAGCAAAATGGCTTGGATTTTTCAGGAACTATGAAAAACTGACAAAACAGGACCATGAAGTAGCTCCTTAAGAAAATTCCCCACACTGCAGTCAGTGCAATCTTTTCAATCCGTGAGAGTGATTGTGGTATCTTCCTACTTAAAACGCTTTATTTCCAACTCCTGTAAGATTGTTCAAGCTCCTTGGTATTGGCCTAGAAAGCTCTTCATGGTCTGGCCTGGCCTCTGTGTGTCTCTCTGCAGCTTCACCTTGCTCCACTCCCCACGCCGCCACAGATCCTACTGCCCTCATCTGATTCCTCAAACCTCATGTGCCTGGGGCCCAGACACACGCTGGCAACTCCCCAGGTCACCATGACTTCAGAGGAACATGCACTGACCACATCTCCATCTCTAAGTGCCTTCCGAGCACACTGTGCCTGGCTTCCATAGCTCTCGCCTCTGTTCCAGTCATCTATGCATTTCTGAAGTTATTTGATTCATATCACTTTTTCCTGTTCTATGCAGGTCTGTAAGAGCAAGGACAGAAGTCAGGTTTTGGGCCCCCCAGCTGGTAGCAGAGCACCTTGGACAAGCTAGACACTCGACTGTGATTCATGGAATGAGTAACACTTCCAACGGACCTAGAGCAGTGGTTCCCAACCTTTTTGGCACCAGGGACCAGTTTCATGGAAGACAATTTTCTCACGGACTGGGGATGGGGGGGTGGGGTGTCCTGGGACAGGAGGTGCAGAGCTCAGGCAGTGATGCACTGCCTGTTTCTTAATGGGCCATGGACCAGTCATGGGCTGCAGCTGAGGGTTGGGGACCACAGAGCTAGATGACTTAAATGAACTTGCTGGTCACTCTTCCTAGCTGTGGACATACTCGTGGCGGTTCTCGAACATGCATATTTCTCTTTTTATCATCCGAGAATTATAGAAGAAAAGTGGGAACAGGACTTCCTACTGTCTCTTTGGGAAATAGGGGTAGAAATACTCAATTTGAGATTTAAAAAAAAAGTTAAACTTCCAGTAACAAGACAACTAAGGTGAATCAATGCAGTCCACACCACATAAAATCCTGCTGACACAGGCTGATCTAGAGCGTCACCTAATGAGGTGAGCTTAAACTAAGGATTACTGAAACCCTATAAAAAAGTTCCCTTTGATTAGCAAAACCAACCCCAAATAATCTTACTATGACTCTTGTGGTTAAATTATGTATCTTAACCAAATTATAAATTTTTAAAAACGCCACATAGTTGTGATACTTGAATAAAAAAAATACGAACAATTCCTTTAAATTAGTTCAAAGTAGTATCGCAATATAACCCCAATTTTTAATTTATTCTCTTAGGGGGTTACACCAGTGTGAAATTATACACCTATTTAACCACATTTCCCCCTCCCCTGAATCAAATAAGTATAAAAAGTCTACATGAAAACTGTACTTAGATTTTTCCAACATCAAAACATTTTTCAATAGGCTTTGAGAATAACTATCCAAGGCTTTGGGATGACCCATTAAAAATTAATATTTTAATAACACTGGAAATCTTAATTCCGTAAGCACATCCATATTGAAATGTAAGACAAGGACATTTCCAATCGAAATTAGAAGCCAATGCCATTTACACTGACTCTAATACAGTGTGCACCCTGCTTAGTTTCCGTTCCAATCAGTTACACGCACAGAGTGACTCTTTTTTGAAATGCTTCATGTCCATACATTGAGAGGTAGAGTCACATAATTAGAAATTATTTATGGCTACAGAGTTTACATTTGTTACAGCTCAGCTAAATTATGCTCTTTCTTTGCTTCCATGGCAAAAGGCCCTTCTAAAAGCTCTTAAAACTAATGCTAGAATAATATAAACCACAGTACAATAAATATAGGTGATAAAAAACACATAGCCTATAAAGGGACAATAAGAAAGGAGCCCAGGCCAGGGGGCTGGCCAGGGAATCCAGAGAATTAGGGCAAGGACATTTCTCTCTCAGGGTCTCAGGTTCCTTGCTCACTCATTGAAAGGGATTATTCATTCTTTGATTAACCACTACAATTTGAGCCTTTCAAATCCTTTTGGTGAAGATGACCTTATTTAGAATCCAACTGTGATATTGAGAAGTCCCCCACATTTCTCACTGCATAGACACCTTCCTGGCTTGGGTGTTTAACATTAAATTCACATGTGAGCTACACACTAAGAGTCCCGCAACTCCATGCTCATCCCGTGCCTGCCCTTTTGCATGCCGACTCCCTGACCTACTTTGCACACACGCGTGCACAGGTTTCTGGAAGAGTAAGTTTTCCTGGAAGTATCTTCATACACATTGGCATCGGTGCACATAAATAAAGGCCAAGAGTTTGATCCTGGTTAATACCATTAACAGAAGAAGAAATCAGAATGAGCAGCTACATGCAAGGAACGAAGGTGCAACGTAAAAGTTTGTTTTCATAGATGTTGAGCTAAAAATGATAGTTTAGAATGTCCAATAGGTAGAAATACGGTGCTGGAAATGGAAAGGCCAGTAAACAGAGAAGTATGTGCTGAGGGGAAGATAAAGTCACCCTCAAATGAAACACTAAGCAGGGACAACCCCAAATGACAACTCAGATTTGACTAACCCAGTTGCTCCCTCTCTATTTGCTTCTAAAGGGCAGGAGCTACTTTTCTCTTTTTCTTCTCCAGATTAGTCCTTCTTCTCATATAGTCAATTCTCGACTATATTGAAGTGAATTTTTTCTGCTATAATTAGTTTCTGCCATCTCTGCTACGATATTCTGCAAAGAAGGAAGTCAAGGACAAACAGTAGGTAGTAAAGGAGAAGTCATGGATTGCATAATGAAGGTTGCTAGTGTTCTTCTAACTTGTAAAATCAAATAAGAGATAATATCAAATTCTGGCCCACCCGGGAATTCCCAGGCTTGTAACCAGTTAGAAAAAAAATAATAAATCATCCTGCTATAACACAAACAACAAATTTTAAAAAGCAACGCTGGAAATTGACTACTTACTCCCGTACTGACAAGAGACAACATAATCCTTTCATTTAAGGCTAATGTTTCTCCTTGTTTCATCTTGATTCTCTTCTTATCCAAGCATTTCATCGCATACCTAGAAACATAAATACTATTGAAACGTTCATACTGTAACGTATCTAGACTGATTTAAACCATACACATCATACTGGGGAAAGCTTCTAAATATTTAGGCAATGCTTAAAAGAAGGAAAATGGCACCCAACTGCTATGCAAGAAATATTTTTCTTTTACATGTTGATATTAAAAAAAAATCAAGCAATACTTAAGATATTTCTATCATTATATGGATAGAAGTTCCAGTTAAATAAAATAGAAAGTAGACAGATATAAATCAATTCAGTGAGATAAATTTTTTGTATAATGCCGCTGCCTGTTACTACTGGTAATGGGGGGATATTCGTATCATTTTTAGCAGGTAGGAATTGTGAATTCATCAGTGGTCAAGTTTTTGTAAGAGTGTATAGTGCTTAAGAATCCGAAACAGTGACAATCAACAAAATGGGAAGGGAAGGCATGCATTCAAAAGAGCATGTTCTAAGTATTATATTATTGATTTGTTCCTAACTTTTTTTAACTTCAAAATTTTACGGGGGTACAAACATTCAGGTTACATATATTGCTTTTAGACCACCCGAATTGGAGCTTTTAATTTTGATATTTAAGTTATTATATTTCAAACAATAAAAAGAGTCAATAAGATTTTGTTATTTATCATTGGTTAAAGTTAATCGAGAAGAACCAGTTGACAACTTAAGATTTTTGAAAACTTGGAACAAACTTGTATTAAGAAAATAATGACAATTTGTTTGGTATATTCCATAATCACAGATTAAGGAAAACAGGAAGCTTTCCCAGTAGGAGAACAGAAAGCTAAAAGGGAATTATTGCAAGTGTTTTCATACATGTCTCAGGGGCTAAAAATTGTGTGTGTGTAACTATTAATTTAAATTCCTAGTAGATGGAGTACTTTACGTAGCTCAGGTATGCAAGATGGACCATTGTCTCAGTGTTGTGGGACACAGAAAATCTACCTATTTCTTATTGATCATAACTTACATGTTTGAGTTATATAAAAACAGAACTGTTCAAATTTGATATTGTTATCTACTTTTCCTAGAGTTCTTATGATGAGTCAATTGATAATTTGCTTAATTATGAGATCAAATATTGAGAACATATGAAGCTACATGTTCTTTCCTGGCTCTAGATCACCGGGCGACACTGTCCCAGCGCGACTGCAGACTTCAAACTCCTGAGCTCCAGGCATCAGATTCACCCCATATGGGGGCCCAAAGCAGGGCGATGACCGATGGGCACAAATTAGTGAAGGCAAACTGCAGTCCCCAAATACCAAAAGACATGCCAACTGTTCAACATTCCTGAGAACAGGAAGAACTGCCTGGCAGAGTTGTCAGCTCCCAGCCCCAGGAAGTGCCTGAGCAGAGGCTGAGTGACGACTCGTAGGCTATGATGGACCAATTTGTTCTAACACGCCTGCCATTTAATTAAACTTGCAGTTCTGGGTCTATCAAATCATATTCTTCCATTCTCTTGTGCTTTCAAAAACATGTTCACTTAAACTGCTTTTGCTAAAAAAAAAAAAAGAAAAGAAAAGTAAAAAAAGAAATTTCCTACACTTAAGAATTCCACTGTTCACTTTCCAGAAGAGCCGTCTACCTGGCTCAGGTGCACTTAATTTCCTCCCACTGGCCTCCCATAAGGAGAGTTACTGAGGGCAGTGATGGAGCCCATGCTCGCTGGTCACCAGCGGGGCGTCCTCCTCTCCAGCACCCCGGCTACCGGTCTCAGGAATCAACATCTCCCAAAAAGCTGTCACCTAGAACTGCTCCTACTAAATAATAGGTGGATCTTTGCTGAAAAAAAGAAGTCTCTCTTCTGCAAAGAAGAATTCTTTTTGGTACTATCTGACCGGAAGGCTGCATGTAACACGCCCCTAGTTGCCAAGAATCACTTCCAGCTCATCTCTGGATCCCTAGGGCTCCTCGCCCACGCCCTGAACCATGGTGGACACGCAATACGGGGTTATCATTTAACTTCCTGGTTAGCCCTAAGAGGTGAGGTTCTGGCTTATTGCTCTCATCCACCACGCTTCACAAAATACAGCCTATTTCTTTCTGAGGTAAATCATTTCAAAAGCAAGATCATAGGCTTCCACAATTCTATACAGAGATTGTCTTTTGATGCAAACATAAAGTCTTCTTAAAAATTGCAGTAAACTATATGAGCATCGAATGCTTACATTTTTCCAGTGTCTGCTTTCCTGCAACCATATACTTCACCAAATCCTCCTCGTCCAATAATCCTATGCACACTGAAATCATTCATGGTCAGCTGTGAAATCAAAATACAAAATGAAAACTTCAAATTATATTACTATAAAGATTTTTTTCATGAAAACACAGACGGTAATTAAAATAGCAATTCTGACATGGGGATCTCCCCGCTCCACGACTGATTCCTTAAGCTGCAGGATGAAATGTCCGAGGGCGCCAAGACTTTACACAACTTCCCTCAGCTCCACCTCCAAGGTACGAGAGGCACAAAACAGAGGCGCATGGGGAGATGATGGACGGGGAACCAAGCAGCTAAACATTTCTGACACGTGCCCAAGGTGACAGGTTACAAGGTATATACTTTGAAGGCAAGTGAGTGTGAAATTTCAAGCCAAAATGAAAATCAACCTCAGCTACTCTGAAGCCTAAAGTTTGAGAATGATCTAAAAACTGCGAGAACTGTCAGGGTTAAAAAACATAAGAGTCCAGGCCAGGGGCATCTATGTTTTCCTAACAGTGGGCCGTATGATCAGAAATCACAACAGATGCAGGCCATGTGAGCCTTGTATCGACAGCACCGGTGAACACAGAGGGCTCATGCTGACCACGTGAGCGTGAAACAAGACTAAATGTGAGTCAAGTCTGTAAAGAGGCTTTATTCATAAGCACTATCTCAGCAATGCCCCATTTCGTAAGTAGATTTAACGTGTTAAATGGTACAAAGATGAATAGTGCATCCTATGTTCGTGACAAGAGGCCGTTAGACAACAGCAAATGCCTACTGCTTTTCCAATCCTGGCAAGTGAAGAATGAGGCTGTTTAAGGGTTCCCCCAAACAACCCTTAAACATCGTATCGGCATCACATAAGCCTGCATCGGGGCCACAGACTTCACGTTTGATGCTCAGAGTCCACAAGGACACAAAATCCGCTGAAGGGGAAGCACGAGAAAGATCCGGAACAGACATAAAGGATTTTTTAAAATGTGTGTTATGGGCCTCTTGCTTCTAAATCCTGCCAGGAAATATGATGGATGAGGGGGATGTGGTTGTTAAAAAAACAACAACAAAAAAGCCTTATGGCTTCTCCACTCGTTGGCTAAGGGCAAGTGCAAAAAAAAAAAAAAAAAAAAAATCAAACAAAAGCTCTTCTTCCAACAATACCATTCAAGTAAAATCTAAGAAAAAAAAACAGTCCGGTTGATTCTTTTGCCCAGTCGCAAGCCTGGGTGAAAGGAGAATGAGAAAGGGAAGTGAAGAGAGGCTGCACCAAGACGTGCGCGTTCTAAAAGCGGAGTCGCGATTTGCCCCAGAATGGCCAACATCGAAAGCCAAAAGAGATGAAACGCGAAGGAGATATGTTAGCAAGTGGCCTGCATTTGAAGATCGCTTTTATCATTTTCACAACAATAAAAAGGAAGACGAAACCTTGGTCTGATAAAAGACGCCATCATTTTTATTATTATACACAATTTTTATTATTACATGTAATAAATAGGAAAGAGAAAAGGAACTTTCCAAGAATAGCAAAAGATAAGGACTTTATCTTTAGTAGGGGAATTATATTACAAGGAAAAAAAAGTTGGGGAATTATATTACGTAAAAGATTTGTATTTTTACTGCTATTTTCATTAAAGGGTCAATTACTGCTTAAAATATCCTTTATTACATAAATAAGCACATTCTTTTTCATTTACTAACCATATTCTTACATGAATATTAGAAAGAAGTAAAACTCTAGTTATTTACCATTGAGAATGGGAGGGGAATGTTTGGTAGGAAAGACATCTGTTCAGGCAGTGCACCCTTTGGGAGCATGTTCCCGAACAAAGTATTTTCTCACGAGGTTAAGCCAGAGGAAGTTTTTATTTAAAGAAAGAAAAAAAGAAAAAGACGATACTCACATGAATGTTTAATTCGACATTTTTCCACTGACAAAATCTAGTGAACTTGTCGCTAAAAAAGAATACAAATAATTACTGAAAAGTTAAATATCAAATTAACTAGATTTGTAGAACAACATTGTAATATAAAATAGAGTTGCACTACTTGTGGTGCTTCTCAAATAGAGTAAGTTTTCTTACACATTTTTTTTTACAAAGCATTCATCAGTATCCATGGCTTTATTTTATGATTCAAATGAAAGAGCTCACGTTTCTCCTTTAATTGTCGTGTGCTATGGTAACACTTTTATCTGAACCAGCATAGTCCAATAGGAAGATAACAGGAGACACAGATATAATTTATATATTTTCGTAACTCAATACATCAAAAAATTATTATTTCGACATGCAATCAAGTCTTTGAAATCTTGTGTGTATTTTGCACTTAAAGCACATTTTAATTTAGACTAGTTACATTTCAAGTGCTTGATAGCTATATGTGGCTAGTGGTGACCGTATTGGAAAGCACAGCTCTAAATGATAAAAAATTAATGTTTAAACAGTTATAAGAGTAGCAAACACTTAAATAGTGCTTACCATATGCCAGGCCCTACTCATTTATTCTTCCTAAAAACTCTAAGACCAGGCACTATTTTGGTCTCTATTTTACAGTCGAGAAAACCAAGGCATCAAAATATTCAATGGCTTGGCCAAGGTCAGGCGGTGAGAGAGTGGGTGGAGCTGGATTTGAACCCAGACCAATAGGCTCCAGAGCATCTTCTTAATCAAAGTTTAGTATGGCCTCTCGAAAGTGCGATAACACAGAAGAGAAACCCTCGGGCTAGAATCCCAGGATGGATAAGCTGCACTGCTCCGATAACGCTCCCACAATTCACTCAACAGCTCGATCAGTGTTTTCGTCATCCATGGAGAAAAATATCTATCCAATTTCTATTTAATAAAGACATGATTTTAATTACTTTTTTTATTAATGAGCAACATATCTGTAAGGCGTTTGTTTTAAAAAAGATTTTCAAAGGAAATGCATTCTAGATTGAATACTTCTTAAAAGCGGAGAACATTCTTAGTGATGGGTGGACCTCATCTATCCCTGGCACGATTCCTTACGCAGACACAGGATCTGGGGTTCTTATAATGAATGAGGAAGCAAAAAAGAAACAAAGAGAGGAAAGGAGGGAGGGAGGGAGTTAGTTTTTATGACGTGCAAGTTCCAGGTACTTACCAGCTTTATAATAGAATGCCTTAAGACATCCAAATATCGAAATTCTCTGGGGGCTTCATTTAAGAGGGCTTTTAGAAATAACCATCTTTTACAAATATCTCTGGGGCTAATAATCAAATTGAAAATCAAACGCGGAAGGATTCTCTGTAACTACGCAGCATCTTTTTTCAATAAATCTAAAGTGACTTTTAAAGAGTGCTTCGCTGATCCCCCTCACATCTATGAGGGTCGGTAAAGTAAAAGTATATTTTGAGAGTTTCTGAGAATTATTTCAAACCGTTTTTAAAAGCACGGTGCACGCAAAAGGCAAAACCACGCAGGTGCACTCTGCATTTATAAAGCCACGACCGGTCTTTGAAACGCGCTTGCCCTCTTTTCTCTCGGATCCTGGGGTTCATAGATGGCGATGCGGATGGGGATCGGACACGTTTTACACCAGCTGAGGAGGGTCAGCCAACCAGGAAGAGAGAAGTGCCCACACATTTTGCCCACTGAGGATGGATTTGCTGTCGCAAGTTCCTCTTTAGGAAGCACAGATGGCCCCAGGACTGAGCATCTGGGCTCAGTCTGGCCTCCATCAGGGTCACTTGGGCACTATTCCTAATCCACAGCTGGTTACTGGACGGGCATTCTTGACAGAAGAGGAACTGGGGCAGAGGACAAAGCCTTGGCAGTTACGGGGCTTCAGAGAGCCAGAGCCCTTGCGGACAACTTAAAAGGACCTCACAGAGAAGACGAGAGGTTACGACGCAGTGAGGTGGGGTAGAATAAACGTGTTTAACTCTGATTCCTGACTCAGTCTTTGTCCTGCTGAGCAGCGGAAGTTCACTGCCTGAACTAGGCAAGGGAAATCCTACTCCTCCCCGATTCACCCTGACCTAGAACTTAGCCCCATCCCTGCTTGCATCTCAGAGGGTGGAGAGAAACGCCCCGCCCCCACACACAACTTCCTCTTTGCTATCCTGTTGCAAGGTGGCCACCCAGAAATTGCTTTAACCATGTGGCCCTTGAGTGTGCCACGTCCTGATGATGTCAAAGGCTACGTGACCATATTTATAGAAGGCCCATGCTTTTCAAAACCAAAACTGCAAACTCATAACCTGAATGGTTTTTTTTTTCTAATTTGAGAATGCATTAACATAAAAAGAGTTGCAAAAGTATAAAAATTAACACACCAACTTTAAAAATAATTTATTTACGTAAAATCATAACGGCTTCAGAAAATACAGGGTGGTTGCTTGCCTAAAGTGCAAACAGCTTCCCTCGTATTTCCTGGGACAATATGAAATGACTAACACAGTGAGGGAAAATGCAGTTAGAAAACATGAGGGAGGAACCCCTTCCCCACTTTTCATTACCATCCCCACCTCTCCTCTCTCCCCCAGGGATCACATAAAAGCTAGGCTGCCCCAAGAGTTGGGAAAGGTCAGATTTTAGAACCCACAGCAATGGGGATGACCCAGGCCTCAGCTGCAACTCAGCCCTGAGCCACCAACCTACCCCCTCTGTTTGATGCTGCTGCTTTTTGGCAAAGCGTCTGCGACTATTCAGAAGAGTGCAATCATTTGCACAAATATTAGTTTCCCAAAGTATTTGACTCTACTCCAGGATAAAATTATCTCTTGAACTCCAGTAGAATCACAACACAACTTTTTTTTTTTTAATTGCTTTAGTTCTGTGAATATGTGAAGAAAACTGCAGTAAAGTAGCATTTGTTCTTAAAGTGCAATTACTGAGCAGCTGCACGCAGCTCCGGCGATGGGACACAATCATCATGTCGATTGTCTAGAAATTAGCTGAGTTTATGGAGAAGAGTACAATCAGTGTCAAGGCAGATGCTGTTTTAGAAAAGTCCAATTCCGATGGTGCATCACCACGTGGCATATTCAAGAATTGACCAGTAGGTGCCCGAGAAGCTGAACATTTTTATAGGTGTCATTGAAAAACTTCAGAATATTTATTACATAGCAAACACGCTCTACAGTTTGAGTAACCCAAAGGGACATATTTATTAGGTTTTTTAATAATGTACGTGATCACAGACACACACTGGCCTATGCTATTACGTTTTGTTACTACATAAAGTATTAAGTTCAGGCTGGTCCCACTTTGGGAGATCTGAGTCCAAAATCCAAACAAACGGGCCAGGTAAGGTAGAGGCATGCTTGCATTGGCACAGGTCTCCCAGGGAGATACTTTTCCAAAATTGAGGTTCCCTAGTCTATTTAAATTTTAGACCATAATTAAGCTAAAGAACTGAAGGTCAAAGAGATGTTGAGATATACGAGATATACAAACCCTAAAATTATAAAGTATTGAGGAAAGAGTCTAACGCAAAGATTGGCACATAGTATATAGTCAAGAAATACCTGTTGAATGAATACATTAACACGCATTTTAAGGACAGCACTTACTGAGTAAAGGAGGTAAATCTACGCAATACAAAATTTTATATTTATGCATAAAGTTTCATACCTTTCCATAAATTTTTGAAAAATGTCACCTCGAAGACTTTCACAAATTTCTTCAATGTATGGCTGGAAACGATAGAAAAGAAATCCCACGCTGTATAAATAGGAACTTATTAAAGGGAAAAACACAAACCAGTGAGACTCGGCCTAGGCGAGGTTCCCAATGACACACTCCAGAGTGTCTCATCTTCAGACTTGCCCTTCTCGGTGCTTGTCTCATCGTCACTAATAGATTCATCATCGCAATTACTTATTTCATAGTTACCTACCTTGAGACTCCATGAAGAGAGGGACGAGTCTGCCCTGTTCGCCATTGTATTCCTCTTGCCTGGCACGGCTCCTGGCAAGTCACGGACACTTCTTAAATGACCAGGGCTGGCTCCATGGAGGTGCGACTCAGAAGAGCCCAGTGCCGGCTCTAACGCTCTCCTGTCACCGTCATGAAACTCTGAATAATTTTTGAACTAGGCACCCTGCGTTTTCATTTTGCACTAGGCCCTGTGAGTTATGTAGCACATCTTGGAAACTATTAAAAGCTGGGTGTTAGCACCAAGTTTTAAAAACTTAAAGCTAATGGATCCACGGAGTTATTCTATCTCTTAGAGTCGCAGAGCTAAAGGTTACCACAGAGGAAGAGTTAATCCCACTCTTCGTCTCGCACATAAGGAGACTGTAGGATGGTGGCAGGTGCATTCCCAAGGTCTCTGAGCAGGTTCCTGGGCAAACTGGGACTCAGGGAGGGCTCCTGGCTCACATACACAGCGTTCTTCTCCACGTGGAAAACACCTACGATCTACTTCGATTTTCAAGCCACCTTACACAACACCAAATAAACAGTATACACTTTTCTATGTGATGAACTTTAAACCAAGAACTACAAAAATATCAAGTGCCAATATTTTGCAGTTTAGCCTAGAGTCAATTAGATAGTTTTGGAAAATATCTTGATACTCTAAACTTGTTGAATGATCCAAATGTAACATTTTCTGGGTGTTTACAGATCATCCTGAAAGTTTACAGAAAAGGACTAGATCCTGGAACAGTCCTGATCAAGCGACAAGAGTGAGAAGTCTGCAGAAGCTGCAGTGACCAAACACGGCAGGAAGGCAGCCACGGCTCTTCTGGGAGCCACACTTTCCACAGGAGAAAACACGCCGGCCTGACAGCCAGCAAGGGAGCTGAGCCCACCTCTGCCACCTCGCAGGGCTACCCCTGTGCTGGGGAGGGCACGGGGACTGGTTGCTAAAGCCACGCGGACTTTGTTCCCTCCTTCCCCTACTAGGGGAAGCTGAACTGTCTCTCTCTTAAGTTCTTTCCAGCTCTGAAACCCTATGACACCTCAAAGACGTGTGAACGATCCAATTCTTCTACAACTCTCAAGAGGTTCAAAAGACTTCCAAAGACAAAACAGCTCATATGGTCAAAGATCTTTACAAAGAAAAGGCTACATTTATATGTCGCGTATTTTCTATTTATAAGAACTATTATGTTAATTATTTTAATAATATTTTTCTTTCATATTTTATCTAATATCTCAGACTTCTAATAAAGTAAAAGACGAATGTCGCTGGGAATTCTTAAGGCTACATATAATGCACCCCATTGCCACTCTGCAGCAGAAGGAACCACAAAACATGCTCGGTAAGCAGTACAAAAGCCAGAGTTCGACAGTGGGATCGGGAGCAGACTACTTCCCCTCTCTGATCCTCAGTTCCCCTAATGGGTAAAAGGGGACAGTCATACTAATTTGCAAGGCCATCATGAGAATTAAATAAGATTAGGAATGTTGAATGCTGAGCACAGGGCCTGGCACATTTTAGGGACCCAAACACCAGCCGGGGCCCTTTCCAACCCCCGCCCCCCACCCAAGGGACCTATGTAGTTACTTATTTCTAAAGGCGACTTGCAAGCAAAATGAATTTAATGAAAAACATCTTGTATTTACTGTCAGAGAATTTGTGTTTCACTACAGACTTCAACCAACTTTGCTGGGTAATGTGCCTCTATAAACAGGACATCCAAACATATAACTTTCACTTATAATATTGTCACTATCTTTTGACAATAAATGTTACACTGAATTGCACTAATACACAATGAACTTAATTATTTTCTTCACTTTTGAAATAAGAACACCACCCATTCTATATCAATTTTATGAGAATACTATTTCCATTCGTTTTTTTAAGTGAACAAATCAGTAAAGTATTTTTAAAAGATACACTGAAGAAATAACTCCTAAATAAATGAAAGAATCTTAAGTCGTTTTTGTATCTCGCCTAGATCAATTTTTCAGGGCTATTTATGCTACAGGAAAAGTTAAAAATCAGAGTTGAAAAATCCATGTGTTACGAGGTACAGTTTAGCAATGTTCCATGTAATTGACTACAACGCTATGTGCCATGGCAAAGTCAGTTGAAAACTGAAATTCTGACACTAAAATATCACAGAGTCAACAAAAAGCAGATACTCACATTGCACTCTCTGAATATGCAAACAGAATTTGTGACAGTGGCTAACATGTGTGGAGCACTGTGATAGACACACCCAGGGCAAAGCCACTCAAGTGTCCCTTTCTCACTGAATCCTCAGGACCCTCCTTTGAGGGACAGCCCACTGTTGCCGCCACTTCACAGATGAAAAAACTGAAGTTAGGAAGGTGCAGACGCTTGCCCAGGGTCCCCCAGCTATGGCTCTGAGATCTAAACCCAGGTCAGGTCATTGAATTTCAGAGTCCAAGCTTATAACCTACTAGACTATACAGATAAGCCCTGCATTTTATGAAAGGCCATCTAATTATTTTGGCAGAAAGGTAACACCCTATTTGTTATTATCCAAGTGCTCTAAGAGCCAAATTAGTATCTGCTCTGTAGAATAATCAAATTCATTTTGCATAAATAAATACTATCAAGTCAAAAGTCAGATTACCTCACTGTTAGTGACTGAATAATCCAGGAAAAGGATAAATTAATTATTTCCATGTATGAAAATCATTACGTTGCTCAATGGCATTGTATCATATTCCTTATAATTCATAGAAACAGAAAAAGTACATTATCTATTTGAGAATCTGACTGTCCTTGCAAACCACTATCACCTCGACGGAAAAGAAAGGATGGAAAAGGCTTTTGGGAGGAGATAAAACCATTAAATCTAAAGAAAACACACAGGCCTATTAGTTAAGAATTTGGTTTTTCAAGTCTTGTCATTGAAATCTATATGACTGGATTGTGTTCAGGATACGAGTAGTCTACACACCTATTATGTACTCATGATAATTACAAATTAAAAAAAAATAAAAAAATAAATAAAAATAAAGATACGAATGGCCAAGGTAAAATACAATTCCTCAGTCGTGACTCAAAGGTCATTCAAACATTCACGCTTGATTCTTGAAAATAAATCTGATTTTATCCAAAGAATAATCACTGCAAGTATCAACACCCTGGCAATACAAAATAAATCTTGCAAAGTCCTTGCTCATCAAAGCTATCAGAATGTCAAATGGGAAAAAATTTTCTTCTTTGATATCTTATCTTGATTGATTTCTAGAACATAATGTTACTAGAAAGCTCTGGTGGCCTTTTTGAGGAAACCCTTTATGAAGCATGTTGGTAGAAAATCGCATTTCAATGAGAAGACAAGCCATATTCAACTTCAGTTGTTCCAGATAAACCTCCAGATAAGAACACAGTCTTACAAATCGATTCCTCTAGCGCGTTCGCACATGCAAAAAGAAATGTCACCAAGGTCAACTGTGAAGCAAAATAGATACATTTATTCTGAAATAATTTTATCTTACCTGAAAAAGAGTTGATGTCACTTGTTTCTTGGATAGATGACTTTGTACATGTTCTACAGCTTGCTTTGAGAATGGCTTTCAAAAATCAAAAATATTTTTTAATGATAAAATATAACAGACCCCTGTATATTACATAATATCACAATAGATGATTTATCATAACAATTACTAAACAGCAACCTATGGTAATTATATTAGTGAGCATTCTTTGAAAATCTATTGCATATTTACAGGCAATCCAAGCCAATGCTTGTTTCTCTGGGCATCCACAGTTCTTAGGTACACCATACCCAGGGGGGACCTGATTTGCATTCCAGCTCCCCAAGAGTTCAAGGGCACTGTGATAATAAAGTGTAAAGCATCCTATTATCACCTGATTAAATATATACATCCCTTTATTAGCTGATAATGGGGTTTCAAAAATGTAAAATTTCTACTCCATAAGAGAAATCGAATCCACGAAAATACACCTAAGAATTAAATGCCAGGCTTACAAAGCCAAGCCGGAGTTATAAAGGGCTCTAGGGTTAGGGAAGTCTTGCTGTAACCACAGCAGAGAGGAACTGGGGCAAAAAGAATGGAGCTTCCACTGACAAAAATTGTAAAATGCATCCTCCCCCACCTCCACCAAAACTTCCAATTGTATCTTCTTTAATAATGCACAATAAGAAGAAAGGCTTAAAAATCACATCATATGACTAGAAACCCTCTCAATTGCTGAAATGCATAAAAACCAAGTTTACAGAGGCTTTCCCACTGAACAGCTGGCATTCCCCAACGGGTCATTACTCCCCAGCAAGGCAGCAAGGCACAGAGCACGGAGGACTAATTCTAGCTCAGGAATTCTTTCGTCCCCAAGCGAGGTGGGTCCAAAGAACAATGAAGCAATGCTACGAAAGATGTCATCGTTAGCCACCGTTATTCGAATGTCAGAAAGAACTGTAAATGACACGATAAACATAGAAGCACTAAAATATATAATTGTCACGACCAGTGGCAGCCATCCAATTGGACCTTCTGCGATGACGGGAATGTTGCGTATCTGTGCCACGTGATACAGAAGCCACTGGGCACGTGTGGCTACTGAACACTGGAAACGTGGCTCATGAGGAACTGAGGGATGACATTTTTAATCTCATTTGATTTGAATTAATTTAAATTTAAACAGCCACATGTGGTTAGTGTCTACTGTAGTGGGAGAGCAGGCCAGAATGGTTAGGCCACTCCTTTGGAAAACGGTCCTAATGTAGTGATAGTACGTGGTAAATTTTCATTACTAATTATTCCACTTACTCCTGGTGGAATGATTTTCTAGGAATCTAGTGGATCCTAATGACTGACGTAGAATGTTTGTCCGATTTACAAGGAAAAAAATATATATTTCAACCATTATTTAACTATTAATGAAAAAAATTAACATAATTATAATCCTCATTATTAATTCAAAGAAACCTTTTAAGATTTATATTTACCCAATGTTAGACTAGCCTAATTGTTAAAGTATAGCTAAATTATTATAAAAATAATAAACTAATTTTCTTTAGAAACTCTAGAATTGAGACTAACCTTTTTCTTCAATTGATCCAAATTAACTATCTGATTTTGTCAATTTTTGCAATGAAAGTTTCGGCTTTTGGAAATATACTAAGTACACAGGAAGCGACAGGTATTGCGTCGGCATTACCAGGAAACAAATGACAAAACAGAAGAAATGAATTCCATCCTGGAGACGCATTTTTACACTTTCAAACGTCTTTCCGCTGTCTTGCTTTCATTCTAGAAACACTGAACATGATCTCATATTTACCAGTCCTACAGCACTCGGATGAGAAGAGATACTCACGTGGGAACAGGCAAGGAGCTCCTTCATGATATAGGCATCGTAAATCTGTCGGCTTCTACAAAGGCGATCTTCCTCATTGTCAAGCTTCTCGTATTCTTTTATCTAGATGTTTTAAAAGTTATCATTGTTAGGTTACGTCTTCCTAGCAATTTACCTTATTAAGAGATATTATTAGCCCAGACAGAAACCACTACCACATGAGATAAAGCAAATTACTGGACTGGCCATTCCACAGGAGACCACTACTTCTAATGTTGTCATGATGAAGTTGAAATCATTTAAATTCAACTAGAAACACACACATGGATTTTTTTTCCCTAGGATGAATCTCATCACTTAACTGTAGGAACATAATATTGGGAAACAAATATTGCCATGGTTACGATTATCTTACAATGCGCAAGTCATGGACCATGTGTCCTTGCCAACTCTCCTCTCCAAAGCACAAATAATTTCAATTTGGCCGTAATTCAGTTCTGAGAGTTAGCATAGAGATTGTTCTCACTCAAGTACAGTGTTCCAAATCTAACGGGAGAAAAAAGAAATTGCCAGGATTCCTGCAAAGAGATTTTTAAAAATCAACTAAAGCAAATAAGCATTTCAGAAAGGAATGAATCCATAGATGGAAACGCTCGCTTTTTAGGTTGGAACCTCACCTGTGCTATAAAAGTATTAACAGAAAGGTGACTTCAAATGGTATATTTTGCTATGCTTAGGTATACCTAAGTAACCTGCCCTAGGTTAAGATAAGCTAAATAACGGGGGAGATGAGTATGTCAATCACTGAGGTCCCTTATGAGCCACAGGGGGGCCAGCTGGTTCACACACTGAGAAATCACTGGGAACATCTTACTATCCTGAAAGATCATCAGTGTTACACTGTGACGGCCACAATTCACACTTCTCTTCCTGCCAGTGCTTAGAATGGAGTCTTCTCGGAAAAGATAATAAAACCTGCTGTGAAAGCAGGTAGACTGGGGTAGGCTGATACCCCACCAAGAGGAAAAGACTGTCTCAGTGAAGAATCAACCCAGTAATGTTGGCATAGCCAAGGACCAGGGCTTAAGCATCCTGTCAACTTAGGAGAACAAGTCTAAAGAGTGCACACACCATGCTATATGCAAACATGGCGTCTGCATCTGCAAATGTAATTCTGCAAAGTAACAGAAGCCAGACTCCAAAATCCAAAGTAGACTCAGAAAATAAACAAAAGAGTTTCAGCTTCATTGATTCCTTTTGTTGTGTTTTGTTTTAGGCAGATCCCAAGGTTAATGTCAGAATGCTAGGATAGAAAGGTAGACTGTTACTAAACCAAAGGCAAAAATGTCTGCCTCAACTGGCGATTCCACAGGAAGCAACCTCAAGGAATAATGAGTCTTTATGGAATCCCTGAAAACAAGTGTAATGAAATGTAAGTCTACGTTTCAGGAAGCACAGAAAGCAAATTGACACTTGGTTAAACAAATGTTCATTCTATGGGAGTTTCCGTGAACCGTCAAATTCTGACTATACAGACAATTCTCAGAACGAATGACTACTCTGAGCCACAATACTGTCTTTACCAAGAGCCTTGAGGCTTATAAACTCCAACTTGAACAACAGAAAAGGTAACTCTTAGTAGGCAAAGTATCCGTGGCTGTATTCAGAACTCACTTTCTGTTATCAGTAAGACCACTGATTAAAGAACATGTATAATAGTTACCTGTCAATTAGCTCTAAACAGGATGTCCTTATGGCAGCATATATGTAGCAAATGCCACTTCTGATTCTGGCAGTTTGGTTGTCCAGGTAACCTGAACAGGGAAAGGTCTAAGTTCAAGGTGAAAAGTCTTGCCTACTGCAGGACAGGGAATTACTGCCATCAGCAGTAAACATTCACTGAGCATGTAGTCCCTTTCTGCTGCGGTAGTTACACAGCTCACAGCTGAACATGCACCTAAATGACCTGACCCCTAAGAGCAAGCATTTTTGGTCCACAGCTGCCACGGTCTCCACTTTCTCCCCCACTGCTTGTTCCGCCACCCACTCCACCGAGAGGGTCTAGTAACCCTTGCCCAATCCAAGGCTCTCTCCTCCGCCTTCTCAGTGGCACTCAACTCAGTTGTCCACTCCTGTCTTCTTTAAAACCTTCTTCTCTGGTTTCTGTGATCTACTCTCTCCAGAGGCTTGCCGCACAGGCTCCTCTTTCTCAGTCTCCTTTAGTAGTTCTTCCTCCTCTGCTTGACTTCTAAATATTGACTTACCTAAGAGCGCGGTGCTGGGGTGCCCCTTTTCACTAAGCCATGTCCTCCTTAGGTAAAGCTAATGAGTCCTGCACTTTCAAATACCAACTCTATTCTGATGACTGAATCTAGACCTCTAAGACTTACTTTCTACCCCTGAGCTCCAGATTCTAAATATCCAACTACCTACTTGACATTTCCAGTTGAATATCTAGAAAGCATCTCAACTCAAATGTAACACGTCCAAACACAACTCTTAATCTCTGCGTCCTCTGTGCTCCAACCAAACAGGCTCCTCCCCCAGTCTTCTCTATCACAAAAGCAAGTAAAACCATCCTCCCAGTTTCTTAAGTCAAAAAATGAATAATCATCATTGATTCCACTCTTTTGCCCACATCACTGCCACCACCACCCCCTACATACAATTCATCAGCAAATCATGTTTGCTTTACATTAAAACCATATCACAAACCCAGGCTCTGCTTCTGGTAAGAGTCAAATGCTGCCTAACAGAACAATCCTCCTGAGATAACAGCTACAAATTCTGCACATATATAAAACACAGCTACATATTGGCATTGGAGAGTGACCAAAAGTACACAGATAATGAAGAAAAGGCAACAGACAGAAGCTGTAAGAGAGGATACTCCTAAAAATAAAGAGACATAGAATGGGAGCTCCAAAATTCTATGTATAAATTCTGTCAAAAGCCCTGGTAGACCCAATAATGACACATGAGCGTGGCAGACCCTAGTAGCCTGGCTATGTCTTAAATAACTGAATAAGATTCAGCTGCTACCCACTGCAGAGAAGACAGACCTTAAAGTTTGAGTGAGCCAAATTAATTGTCTACTACAATAAAAAAAAATTAATATCATTTGGAGGAGCATAACAGAGTTTGGAGTATCTACAATATATCAATCATAATGTTCAATATACAATCGAATATTATTCTACATATGAAGAAACAGGAAAATGTGACCCATATGCAAGAAAACAGACCATCAGTGAAAATCAATCCAAGATGATCCAGATGTTGGAATTATCAGACAAGAATCATAAAGCAGCTATCATAACTGGACATAACAAAAAGAATATTAACAGAAAATATTCATGTAATGAATAAAAAAATAGGAAACAGTGCAGAAAAATAGTAACTATGAAAAGAACCAAATGGAAATTTTAGAAGTAAAACATATAACATCCGAAATAAAACATTCAATGGATCAACATAATGGCAGACTAGAGATGCCAAAAGAAAAAGTCAATGAACTGGAATATAGATTCATAGAAATTATCCAATCTGAAGAAAAGAAAAAAATGTTGGGGGAAAAATTGAATAGGGCATCTGAGATATATAGGATACTATCCAAAGATTAAACATGCATATAATCAGAGAGGAAAGAAAGATTGAGGTAGGAAAAAAATTCTTTAAAAAATAACGGCCCTAATTTTCCCAGATTTGGTGAAAGATATAAATGTACAGATTCAAGAAATTCAGCAAACCATATAAAGGCTAAATACAATATCTAAAATTACTCCACTAAAAAGCAAAAATTGTCAAAATGAGGAAGAAAATAGCCAGGACACTTTTGTATCTGTCTAAAAGAAACAAGTAGAAAGATGGAAAAAGATGTATCATGAAAACAGTAAGCACAAGAAAACTGAAGTGGCTATGCCTATATTAACGTCCAGTGAAGCCGATTTCAAGACAAAGAATATTACCAGAGACAAAGAGGGACATTTCACATGGAAAGACGTAACACTCATAAATGTATATGCACCTAATAACAGAGCTTCAAAATACATGGAGAAAATTGACAGAACAAAAGAAGTTATTCTTTTGTACATTCGACAATCAGATTTGAAGGTTTTAATGCCCTTCCATCAGCAACTGCTAGAACAACTAGACATAAAATCAGTAGAGATGTAGACGATCTATCACATCAACCACTTTGACCTAACTGATATTTACAAAACACTACACCTAACACTTCCCTGTTTTAAATTTCCCGTGGGCTTTAGACAAAATCTAATTTGTTACTCTGACCCTCAAAACCCCGTCTCTTTCTTCAACCTGATCGTACCTCACAACACCTGCCACACCCCACCCCCAACACAACTATGCCACACTAGTTGTCTTTCAGTTTCTCAAACATGCCAAGTTCTTTCGTGCCATGTTAGGGGCTCTGTCGTAGCCATGACTTCAGCCCCAAATTACTTCCTCCTCCCTCTGCTCTCAATCTTCAAAAGACTTGCCTCCTCGACACTCGAGTCTCTGTCTAAATGCCACCTCCTCAGACAGTCTTTGACCCATCACTCTAAAATGGCCACCACGTCACAATACATCACACTGAGTTTAGAGTCTGTTTTGAGTCATTGCATAACAGTTATTACTTCTGGATACATTTCCTGTTTCTTTACTTATTATTTGTTCATTGTCTTTTCTCTCAAACAGAACTTAAGCTCAAGGACAGCAAGGACATTGTTCATCTAAACAATGCCTGCACAAGATTGGTGTTTAATACAAATTGGTTGAATGAGTGAAAAAAAAAATTCTATATAGTAACTTTACCTCTGGTCTTATGTTTATTTTCTCTTTTCTATGATTTATTTTTAAAGGTAGGTATAATATAAATATGTTTACAAGCTGCTCCAATATATAACTGGAGCAAGAAGTGTATAGATCTATACACTGAGCAGTAACTACATGTTAGGTGCTGTTGTAAGTGTGTTGCATATATATATATATACAAGCACCCTACGAGACAGGTACTTTCATCACCCTAATTCTTAGCCGAGGAAACCCAGGTAGAGAGAAGTTAAATTGCTTGCCCACGTTTATGAAGCTTACAAGTAGTATAGTCCAAATCTAAACCAGGGCAGTCTGAGTTTAAAGCTGGAATTCTTACTACTATGTTACACAGCTTCCTACATACCTGACCAACACGTTATAGATATTGCAGTCTAGAAAGTCACTGTTCACTGTTCGGACTTCACAATTAGAGTGTCGAGTAAGCAGGAGATGAGACTAACCTCATGGGCATTAAGTCCCCACACCGCGAGCGTCTCAGTACGGGGACGGTGTCTGGTGCAGTGTCTGTAAACTCAGGGTCTGACACAAGGTAGATGCTTCGGGCTTTGCCGAACGACTTGCCCGATGTCCCACGGCAAGGGAGAGGCACAGCTGCACTAGATCCCAGCCGGGCCTTCTACTGAGGAGTCCAATTACGGTCAAGATAAAAACCCTGATGACACACATGTAAGCAGCAAGCACAAGGTAAGTGTGACCTGAGCACAACAGACACAGACAGCGTAAGAGTCAGTGGACTAAGCCGTCACAGAGGACAGGAACAGCTGCACGAACAGATTTGCTAGAAAATGTGGAGGTTTTCCACTTTGAGAAAATTGAAGTCAGGCTTTTGACAAGCCCAGGAGCAGCATTCTAGGCCGGCAAAAGGACTCAGTAAGAAGGAACAGGCGTGGGTCCAGGGAATGCTGGTTGGTGAGGTTCGCCAACGTGGAAGTTCTACGTAAGAAGGTAGATAAAGATACAGCGGGAAAGGTAGCTGATAAGTAAAGTAGAGACATCCGAATGCCAGGCTAAGCCATTAGGGCTTTAAAACACAGGAAATGGGTAACTGTTAAAAGTTTGGGGACGCAGGAAAGTGGAAATGCAATGTACAAAGTGTACACTTCAAGTAGCTGACAACATGGTTTTGTATGGACTGGGGTCATAAAACCACCGGAAATTAAAGAATCTGCTGGAATGACAAAACCAAGGGATCGGAGGAGAATTACTGATAACTTCAGCGTGTACAGGTTCTACTGATTTACAGAACCGCACGTGAGCCCCGAGGAGGGACGGCTGCCGAGGAGCTTTGCAAGCAGCATCCTCCGGGGCGGCATCCGATGCGGCAGATCCGTCCCGTGCCAGGAGAGCGGTGAGAAGAGCTGGGGAGGAGCCAACAGACGGAAACACCAACGTCTGAAGTTCAAGTAGAAACACAGCAGCAGGAGTTACCGCCACTTTTTGAAGCAAAGTGTGAAAAATACCAAGTTCTCACATATATTAATAGACCAGTAAGAAAGGAATATCCCTCCAATTTTCAAATGTGCATAAAGATTACTAGTATCAGGCTGAATCACGCTATGCTTCCCCTGGACCGTTTAAAATGCTTTACCCTACAGACACATCGTGCTAATAATAATAGCATGTATCATTTCTTAAATATATTTTAATTTAAAGTATTTCCAAATTTCTATTTTAATTCTTCTTTGACCTATAAATTATTTAGACTTGTATTCATTACCAAGCAGTTAAGAATTTCTTAGTTAACTCTGACATTAAAGTCGAACTTAATTCTATTGTGGTCAGAGAATACACAAGGAGCACTCTCAGCCTTCTATATCCTTATTAATTTTTTGTCTGTTCTATAAGCTCTCGAAGGGTGTGTGTTAATATCTTCCGCTAGAATTACAGATTCGTCTTATTTATTTCTGTCAATTTTTGCTTTATATACTTTAAAGTTATGTCATTTGTAACATCCAGATTTCAGGTTGTGATATCTTTCTGTTGGACTGACCCTTGATCATTAGGCAATATCTCTCTTTATTTCAGAGCATTACCATGCGGTTTATCAGATATTAGCGTAGTTATACCAGCTTTGCTTTGGTTAGTGTTTCTATTACATATTCTGTTCCATCCTTCTATTTTAAGTATATCTCTTAAAAAGCAGTCTATAGTAGAGTTTTGGTTGTTTATCTAGTCTGAAAAACTTTGTCTTTTTACTTGGAGTATTTAGTCCACTTATATTAAATGTAATCATTTAAATAGATTTATAGCTACTATCTTACTCTGTTTTCAATTTGACATACCTATTTTATGTCTGCCTTTTGTTCCTTTTTTGCCTTTTTGTTGATTAATCAAATATTATTTTATTCAATTTTTCCCTCTTTTAGCTTGTTGGATATAGAGTCATGCTTCACTTAATGGGGATACATTCTGAGAAAAACGTCATTAGGCAATTTTGTCATTATGTGAACATCATAGAGTGTACGTAAGTACCTAAACTGAAACAGGATAGCCTGCTACACACCTATGCTATCTGGTGTAGCCTGTTGCTCCTAGGCTGCAAACCTGTGCAGCATGTTACTAAATACTGTAGGCAATTATAACACAATGTATATCTAAACATAGAAAAGTTACAGTAAAAATACAGTGTTAGAATCTTATAGAAGCTCTGTCCGGTAGTGGTCCATTGTTGACCAAAACATCATTATTCAGCACATGACTGTACACACTGTTCTTATAATATGCATTTTTTATCCATTCCAATCCAGTGCAAACTATGACTTATGCTAATCCCCCCAATAATCCTAGAACCTTAAGATAACTTCTTTAACCTCTCCTGCTTTTTGTGCTATTGTCATGCATTTTAATCCCACATACATTCTAAGCTCTAGAAACATGACGTTACTGTCAACATTCATTTATCTTTTACATATACATTTACCCTTCATCATGGTCTTCATCCCTTTCTGCATCTCCATCTGGGATCATTTTCTTTCTGCCCACAGTATTTAGTATTTCTTGTCATGCAGGTCCACAACTGACAAATTCCCTCATTTTTGGCTTTCTGAATATATCTTTATTTCACTTTCATTTTTGAAGGAAATTTTTGCTGGGAATGGAATTCTAGGTTGGCAGTTTTTATGTTTCTCTCCTTTAAAGATAGACATTTCATTGCCTTTTTTTTTTTTTTTTTCATATCTCTTAAGATGTCACAGTCAGTCAAATTGTTGCTCCTATGAAAGTAATGTGTCTTCCCCACCCCTCACCCCGGCTGTTTTTAAGATTTGGTATTCTTTGTCATAAGTTTCCATAGTCTTATACTGATGGGCAAAGATATGTTTCCTTTGTGTTCATTTTGCTTAGGGCTGTCTAACTTTTGAATCTATAAGCTGATGTCTTTCATCACTTTGTAAAATTCTTAGTATTATGTCCTCAAATATTGCTTTTGACCTATTCTCTTTCTTCTCTTCCTGGGACTCTAATTCCACAAGTATTAGACCCTTCAAGCATGTCCTGTATGTCTTTAATGCTCCTATATTTTTTTTCTATTTTTTTTCCTCTGTGCTACAATTTGAGATTATCTACAGACCTACCTTCCTATTTTGTCTTGTATTACAAGCAATCTGCTACTGAAACTAACTATTAAATCCTAATTTCAAATATTGTACTTTCTGTTCTAGCAGGTCTATTTGAGTCCTCATAATAAATTCAAATTATCCTGAAATTAACTCTCCCTCCCTCTATTTTGTCCATCTTTTCCTCTATTTCCTTGAACATATTATTCACAGTTATTTTAAAGTAACTGGCAGCTAATTCCAATGTCTGATCCATCTGCTGGTCTGCTTCTACTGCCTTGTTTTGAGTCCCATGATCTGGCCTCTTAGCATGTCTAATAATGCTTTAACTGCATGCTGAACACTATGGAGTCTGTATATAATATTATCTTCTACCTGCAAAAAAGACAGACAGGGCTCTCCCTCTACTCTGTTAAGTAGGTAAGGAGGAGGCTCCTCACCCAAAGAGAGAACGAGCTGGGTGCATTTGCCATTTTTGCAGGCCCAGTGCGCCTCTGTCCCGACCCCGTTTCCAAGGCCTGGCCCTCCGCGGAGTTCAACGGGAGATCTTTGTCTCCTCAGCGCCAGAGTCAGCACTGACCTTGAGAAGTCTTCGGCTCAGCTCTTTGGCCCCCAGCCCTGCTCAGCTTCCAACCTCAGCATGTGTCTCGAGAGGACGTACCCCTCTAGCACACTGGGGGTTCCTCCAGTCTCATTTCTTTTTATAATTCTAGCCTCAGAAACCTCCTCTGTCTCTTCTGTCTTCCAGAAGCAGCCAAGCCTGGGTTCTCCTTTGCCTCCTGCAGCCAGAACCAACAGCCGCCCCGTGGAAAGTGGCTGCGGATCTTGAGTGCCGCCGGCCAGTCCCTCCAGGGCTTTCATCTCCTGCCCTCATGGGTCTAAGCGCTGTGAGGCCGTGGGAGATTTCAATGTGCCTTCCAGAAAATTCTGGCTCTCTTCAGCCCCTCTCCAACCTCAGATTTCACCATATGCCTTGTGGGGAAAACTAATCGTGCATTTGAACGCCTCTCCATACTCCCCTAAGTCTCCCATTTGTCATTCCAGTGTGACCAGAAAACTTTGGCTGGTTTCCCTTTCAAACCCGGTGGCAGTCCCCTGCCTCCGCGCACACCTCCAGCGCCAGCGCGCTTCCACAGAAATCAAAACGGCTGGCAGTCCCCAGCATTCCACCAAAGGACTCTCCCTTCCCTGGGATTTTCGTCCAGCTGTTCCTCATTGCTTCAGTGGCACTCCGACGCACTTGAGGACATGATTTTTATCACACGCTCAGCTTTGTGTAGACGCTGTTAGCATCTCCGATAAACTCGATGCTGCATTTTGTGCTACTAGTTACCTTCGATGCATTTCTAAATATTTATAAGACATTTAGTAGTCTTAATATTTTCCAAAGTACAGTTTCAATATGCTTTTGAAAGCAAAGCATCAGTAAAACGGTTACTTCTTACCTCTTCATAAAACTTCACCTGAGGTACAGCTTCATTAATTTCATTCAAACAAAAATCTTTAAATAGCAAGAAACCTAAAGGAAAAGAATAAAAAATTTCAGGGTGGGCAGTCAATTGAAATTTTATCCCACAGGGTGTTTTCCAAATATTGTGTTTATATATACACCTCTTCCTCCCCTACCTTTAAAAAAAAAATGGATTTCAAGAAGCTAATTATTAATATACTCTAGAAGGAAATACTCCAGGTAAAAGAGCAGCACATACCTGGCTCCTGGCTTCGGGGTTTCTTCTCATTCACACACACCCCCCACTTTCTAAGAAGGCATGGGCCAGTGGCCACCACCACTGGCACACGCGTCACTACAGTGAGCAAAATAGCAACCAAAGAAACAAGAGGTACAGGTAGAATGGAAATGTTGGTAAGAGTCACCATGGAGCTAATAAATATTATGCCCTTAGAAACAGGACTGAACTCCCCCAAAAGACAGAACTTTCACAACCTGCCCAGCCCTTTCTCTCCCTACTCACTCATTACTCCCAAGTCTCCACCAGGGCAGATTCGCCATTCCCAGGTCATTCTTTGTGCCTTTGCAACTGCATGCCTCACCTTTAAACAATCGATGCCTTGTGCCTAGACTAGTGCCCCCTTCTCTACAGCTCAGAAACTCCCCACATAACCTTCAGAATTGGATTCAAGAGCTGCCTTTGCTCTGAAGTCCGCTATAGTGAGACAGACTCTATTCCACAGTGCCTCGGCCTGGTACACAGCAGGAGGTCAATAAATGTGTGTTAAATGTTTGTTTATGCAGTTTATTTCCAACATGTCTCTGTCAAAATATTTATCACACTGGAATTAAGGATTTATAAGGCTCCCGCCCCATTTGAAAACCTAGTCCCCAGTTTAACACCTGCCATAGTCAAGCCCAGATGAGCAAATGAAGTTGAACAGAACGAGCTGATACCAGGCTGAAGGTAGAAATACTTGCAAGATTATAAAACCCTCAAAAGTCAAAGCACTTAAAGGAAGTCATAGAAGGGAACCGAAGAAAGACTCACAAAAAGTCTAAAATGTAGGGAGGAGGGGGGGGGACCAGAATTCCCCAGGGAGGACCAAGAGAAAGGAAGCAGCTTTGACAAGATTCTAGTTAACGTTAGTATAAGAATCTTGAACTTGTCGGTTACTCCTCCATACGTTCCCCAGGAATTTGGGGAGGAACATGACCTTTGAAAATGATACATGTCCACTGATTCAAACTAGAAGAACATGAATAAGACTAGTAATTAAACAGGCAAGGCCAGACTTCACCCGGGGCAGGAGCAGCACCCTCCTGTGCAGGAACTGCGGTGACGCCACACAAGGAAGGGGGACAGGCAAGCAACAGACACACAGGAAGGAGACCAGTCTCTACCTATCTGCATATTAATATTCACATTTTAAATAAGAGGAATGGTTGTGTCTCCATTTTTATTCATTTCAACATGATTCCTGTTCCTCTTGTCATTTCTTTTTTTGACCCGGGAATCATTCAGAAATGTGTAGTTTCATTTCCAAAAATTTGGGGGTTTTTTCCAGGTATTTTTCAGATATTGATTTCCGTTTAACTCTGTTGTGGTCAAAGAACATGCTCATGTGGTGAGATAACACACTCAATATGATTTTAAGGCTTTTAAATGTATTGAAATTTGATTTGGGCTCCCAAAAACTTGGTCCATCTAGGTGAATACCCCATGGCAAACTTGAAAAAAATTGTGTATTCTGCTCTTGTAAGGTGGAGTTTTTCATTTGAAAGAATAAAAAGGCAATTAAGCCAAGTTGGTTTGATACAGTTGTTCAAGGCCATCATCTGAATCCTTACTAATGTCTGACTACTTCTCCATCATCAACAGAAAAATACTGGAATCCCCACTTGTCATTGTAGATTTGTTCATCTTTTTTTTAGTTTTGTCAGTTTTTGCTTCATGTATTTCTTTTTTCTATTTTTAGAAGAGAAAATTAAAATGAGAATTTGAACGTAGGTGTTTTGATCAAACTAGAGATGTTTTTTGAAACGTCTAAATGACAAAATGAAATAACCCCACACGTGGACCGCTGGCTTTTGAATGCACTTGAGATCAAATTGGAACTCTTCCCCATGGCCTGTCATGCCCTCTGGACTCCAGTCACGATTTTCTTCAGCTGCGTTTTGCACTGCACCCCGAGCTCACTTAGGCCACACTTTGGTACTTTGGCTTCTCAAACACCAACCTCGCTCCCTTCTCCGGCTTCTTTCCTGCTGTGTCCCCACTTCCTCCAGTACCCTTTCCCTGGATCCTCTGGGCCTGACAGCTCGGACCAAATTCCACTTTCCTTAAGGAGAACATCCACGGTTCTCATTCATTCTCATACTCTCTCATCTCTCAACCACACACACACACACACACACACACACACCCCACGCTCTGTCTACAGCACTGTGACCACCAAACATCAGCACATGCGGGTTTCCTCCTTCACTGTCTACCTCCCCCACTACAGGGTGTGTTGCAGAGGGACAGGGCACGTGTGTTTTATTCTCCACTACATTCACAGCAAGAAGAACACTGACTGTGATATAGACAGAGCTCAGGAGAGCGGACCAAGGGAGAAACGTGGAAGGGAAGGAAGAGAGGACAGAAGAGGAAAGAAAGAGGGGGCATGACGGAAGGATGGAGTGAGTGAACACCCAGCTTAGAATGTTTTTACCTACTTCTTTAATGCAATTTCCATTGTCCATGTGCAGAATAGGCCAGGGAACTAATTTAACATACTACAGGGAAAACAAAACAGTGTTTCCCTCGTGTCTACACATAAACTGAAGCTTTACTTTCTACCAGCTGTTCAAATTGAGCTGTTAAAATGGAGCAGCCAGAAGAAAGACATTTTGCCTTCTGGAAGAATCCTAGATCACTGTGTTCCCAGAGGAAAGCCATTTACGTTCATCAGCCTTAAATTACATAAAAAGCAAATGAAGCATTACTCAGATTAGAGCAAAAACTAAAGAGCAAAAGTAAGGAAATACTTTGCCTAATAAGTCGCTTCATCATTGAGATTTCTCCACATTTTAAAGAATAAAAAACACTGACCCAACACCTGCTTTCTAGATAATTATGGAATGTGTTTACCTTGTTTCTGTATTTGAATCGCTGCAAATTGCCTGAATACTGATTAACTTTTTAGTGTATGTAACACCCAGGAAAGGCAAACTATCCCAATTTGCCACCACAGTATATTATAAAAATTAGTAGAAAGAAGTGTATTGCTTTTGATAAAATACCAACGAGTTGAGAGCTTTTTTTTTTTTTTTTTTTTTTTTTGAGACAGAGTCTCACTGTGTTACCCGGGCTAGAGTGCCATGGCGGAGAGCTTTTAAAAGTATCAAATGGAAGTGATTTCTATGAAAAATTTTGACATTTAAACTTCTAAAAAATTAAAAAGGGGGAAAGAGAAATCTGAAAATTTCTTGCAAGAAATAATACCTGTCCTAGGTTTTGCCAAGGAGTTAAAACACTGGGAAGGAAAATGGATTGCATAACTGCTAAAACTCCCTCCCAATATTGACTAATTCTACCAAGTAACCACTAGAACATATTAGCAAATTTAGCAAGGCCACAGGATATAAAGTCATTAGATAAGAATCAATGAAATTCTTATATACTCATAACACACAATTTTAAAATGAAATTTAAAAACAAGTCCATTTGCAATAACATCAGTAAACAATCAATACTTAGGAATAAATAAGTAAGTAACATACAAGACCACTACGCTAAAAACTATAAAGTATTATGGAGAGAAAGTAAAGAATATCTAAATATATGGAAATATATACTCAGCTCATGGACTGGAAGACTCAGTATTGCTTAGTTGTTAATTCTCCCCAAATTGATTTGTAGAGTCAATGCAATTACAACCATAACGCCAGCAGACTTTTTTTAAAGAAACTGACAGCCCAATTCCAAAATTTATATGGAAATACAAAAAATCTAGAATACCCAAAACATCTTGAGAAAAGAGAACAAAGTTCAAGGACCTAACACTATCCAATTTCAAGACTCATGATACAGCCTTATTAATCAATACAGTGTGTTATTGGCATAAGACTAAATCAATGGAACAGAATAGAGGGTCCAGAAACATGCCCGCATCTATTCTGGTCAATTTAAGTCTTTTTAACAAATGACACGAGAAAAACTAATATCCAAATGGTGGGGAAAAAATGGAAAAAACTGTTACCTCGCACCTTATAAAGAATTATATTAGGAATTATCACAGAACTAAATGTGAAGGCGAAATTTATAATGCCTCTAGAATATATACAGACTATCTTCACAGAAAATCTTTATAAAGACAATTTCTTAGGCAGGGTAAAGAAAAAAATGATAAATTATCAAGATTGAGAACTTCTGCTCATCCACAGACACTGTTACAAAATATAGACCAGCCACAGACTGGGATAAAATATTATGAAACCTAAATCAGAAAAAGGCCTTGTCTATGTACATCCAAAGGAATAAACAAACAAAAACTCCTACAAATCAATTTTAAAAGAAAAACAACACACGGAAAGAAGGACCAAAAAGTCTGAACACTTCACAAAGTTTAAACACTTCACAAAGAAAGAGATACGAATGGTCAGTAAATTCACGAAAGCAGCTCAATCAACAACACTGGTAATCACATAAATGTAAACCGAACCACTCTGAGGTGCCACCAACACCAAACGCTGGCAGGGATGCCAGGAGCCAGAGCTCTCACACGCTGCTGGGAAGGGACAACGTTTCAGGCTCCGCGTGCCTCTGAGTCCGCAGGCAAAGAAGGGGGATCTTGTGCCGGCTGGAGGGACCGATCTGACACCCAACGGGAAATTAAACTTTGACTCCACGATGGAGGTAAGGAAGGGTGTGTCTGGATACAAGAGACCTAGGTCTCTTCTACAGTTACCACGCCCTGTGGCTAACATCAGTGGAAAACTATAACCCAATTCCTTCAGGAAGGAAGGGTGGGTCACCCCCAGGTAAAGGTGCTTGCTGATGGCAAAGGGAACATGGAATGGGT